ATATTAAATTTTAAATTTTAAAATTTGCTTGTCAAAAACATAAACTCTAATTCCTATCCCCAAAAATATTTTTCTGGTAATGGCATTCTGTGTACATTTTTTATTTTAAGAATATTATCAGAAATCTTATATGCTCGAAAAAATGTTTTAATAAATTAAATTCTTTGTGTTAAATTAATTTTTTTGTATATTGTTAACCATCAATGGAATTTGGAATCAAATAACTATAAAATAAATACACAATGAAGACTACTAGGTACATTTTATTATACACGATAAGTTTTAATATACATTTTTATTTTAATCACCAATTAAATAGTTATAAAAAATAAGATCAATAAGTCAGCTAGACATAAAAAATTATCATGATCTTAAATGGTCAAGAATTAAAAATATTATATTCACCGTTCGCACTAAAAAAAAAAAAAATAATATAAACTGCTAACATTTTATCATCTAAAATACAATTAAAGTAATCTATAATATTGATTAAGTTGTTTTGTTAATTAGTATAATAACATTTAAGTAAGTCATATACGCATCATCCATAGGTACCTATTTAATAATTTTTACACATTGTACTTGTAATTTATATAGATAATTTATTGTTTTACATTTTTTTGGTTCTATATAGTGTAAAATATTCAAAATTGTATTAAATACTGCAATAATATGCATGTATAATAGAACCTTGATTAACCGTCAGTCTCGGGACCAGAGCTTTGACAGATAATCGAAAAGACGGTTAAGCGAGCAACAAAAATTTAAATATACATATATATTATTTATTATTTTTTTTAATAATTATGACATACATATTGATATAATTAAGTAGGTACTATTACTTATTGGTACATTATTATCATTATTATTTTTTAATTTATTAAAAAAATTTATTATTTACAATTACATACATGCTTAACAATTAACACTATAAAAATCGGTTAATTTTTGTTGTTTTAACATATTATGTGATTTTTTGGTGCTTAAAATATTTGCACACAAAGAGACTAAAAACGCGAACGGTCAAGCGAACGAACACACGTGCAATATATAACTGACTGACTTTTCAAAAACAAAAGGCGATCACTATCGCAATAACCTATCGCTTATCTTGTAGATATTGCAGGAAAATTTCGGATTATATATATTATTATTTATAACCTACTCATACACAAGTGGCCTGACGGTTAACCGAGAAAGACGGTTAATCGGGGGACGGATAATCGAGATTCTACTGTATTGACTTAAATGTCACATCAAATTTAACTAAAAATGCCAAATTCTAATGAAATACTAGGCAAAATTAAGGTCCTAAACATTTAATTATGTAAGCAATTTACAAGAAACATTTGACTATTTTTCCTTGAAATCACATTTAAATATATCTAGTCTAGTAATGCATTCTGTAGAATAATTTTTAGTTTTTTTTCGATTGCCAGTAAATATTATTGATACATATTTACATAAATTAATTCACTCGTAAACAAATCGTAGCCAAAATATTAAGAAATTGTATTTAATACATTACAATGTAGAAGTATATTTTTAAGTATTTATTTATATCTTCAAGGAAAACAAGCTAATTTAATATATTATGTATTATGTAAGTAAAGTAAAATTTAAAAAATAGGTTTTAATCTTTAGAGTTTAATTTTATACTATTATTAAAAAGAACAGTTTGTTGATATTTACAGTTAAAATATTTAATTTGGAAAACTGTGAATAAACTGTGAATATATTTTACATTATCTATGTTTGTAGAAATTAAAATGAATCGATTAATAGTAATTGTACACCGTAATGTTATTGAGTAAGCAACTTAATTTACATAAATGAATGACGAATGATATTAAAACTCAAGTATTATTATAAAAATAATAATATTATTGTTATTGTTTATTTATAGTTATCGAGTTTAAATACAAAAACATTTCCTTGGGAACTGTGCCCCCAAAAAAAATATTCCAGTAGGTATTGTAAAAGTAACCTTAAAAAATTTACATTTTAATAATAATAATACAATATTTTAGAAAATAAACAACGCGTTGTGTATAAATACAAATCTAATCAATATGTTTCAATATACAAATATTATGGTCGAATAAATGTTATTCGCTAGACTCTGCAACCAGTAAAATATTTAAATTTTTCATTTGTTAAATTGATTTACTATATTTTCTTAAGTTTAAAAAAATGTCATACACACATGTATTGTAACTTAAATGATATAAATACGATTTATTATTAATTTTTAGTTAATACTAACTTTTATAATGTACTAATAATCACATAATATACAAATGTTGTATATAAAAGTTATATACATAATATACATAAGTATTCGCGTGACCATAATTGGATAAAATTGTCAAGTTATTGATGTATAATATACATTGAACGGTGAATTCGTGATTATATTATACTTATTTGCGTTATAAAATTTAAATTTCTTACTAAATGGATAATAATATCATTTTATATTATTATCAATGAATTATAAGTTTTAGATAAACATTAATACAGATTTAATTAAGTCATTAAATAAGTTCTAGCGTTGTATTTGGAAAACAGTATTTTGTAATTTAAATTTATAAGATTTTTAATTATTTTGCATCGTGCATTATTAATTAGAACGTGTCGTCCCGATTAAATTGAGCATTATCTACAACAAAAACTGTGGAGTAAACAAACTAATGACGTATATATGACATATTGTTTATAAATCCAATAAACTAACTAAATCCTTTGCTAATAAAAATATATTATATTAATTAGTACGTTGAAGTAAAAATATATTTTACCATATCTTGTAATGAGGTTAAAGTCCATCGAAGAAAAGTATATAGACTTATAAAAAAAGAGTGCAACAATTATTTTCTTATGTAATAAACTAATACATTCAGTACGATCACTTTGTGTCCATAAAATATAGTAATTATTAAATTAATTAGCTATAGTTTTAAAAGAGAAGATTAATTTATAGTGATTAGTATTAAAATATAATATAATTAATATGTGAACCTATGTAATAAATTGAAAAATGTTTTATTTTTAAGTAAGTAATAAACAGTATAACTTACTATATTTAAAATCAATGAGTTCTAAACAATAATTTTTAACACAACGTTTTCTGAATACTTGAATAATATACAATCATGTAGTAGTATAAGGAAAAATTCAAATAAAGGATTCATTTTGAGGGACGAAGAATTTCCAAATGCATTGCTTTTTGATCAAGTTTCAAATTTAACTATACTTCAAATCTTTGCTCATCAGAGTATATTTTCCTAGTTTAATGAAATCTTTCAAGAAATAAAATAGATATGGCTCAAATATTAGTACAAAATGTTATTAGGTTTTTTCTTTGTATGTTAATATTCTAAGGTAGATACCTTAATCTTCACTTTATCTAGAATATTTAAAACCTAAATAGAAATTTTCATCTGGCACAGACTTGCTTACAAAATAAAATACACTCATACTAACACTGTATAAAATATGATCAAACGTTTCGAAATCTATCTTTTAGTCGTTTAATATCGATATTATTTGATGTTAAATTATTATGGCATATAGAAAGATAATATCTATCCGTTTCTCAACCAATGCAAGTAAAGTGTATGGAAAAAAAAACTATTTCAGTAAAAATTTATAGTTACAGCATTGACTACATATCTTAACGTATTATAAAATCAACAATGTTACGGTTAAATAACGGACTTTTTTTTTTATAAAACGACATTTAAATATATATGTTATGTATAATGTTTACTCCAGCTGTGCTTACCTAATACCTAGTCATAATACATTTGCAAACATCGAAAAACAACGAATGCCAATAGTGTATACAAACAAAACATATTTTTTATTTGATTATTTAGATATTCGGCGGGAAAATCAGCAGTCTCTAAACAACCTTTGTAAATATAAATACGATTATTTTGTTTATATTATAATACAAAATTGTATTGAACGTATTCTAATGTTAAGGTTCTAAGTAGAATATGCAGAAGCGGACTGGGTATAACGAGGCCGGAGGGTTAATCAACTTGAACTATTATTATCACATTTCAACTAATAAATGTTTTTAGTTAATAGTATACAATTAATTAAATTTCTGACATTTTAATAGTAAATTAATTAATGATGCTTTACTGTTATATTTAAATTTTTATTAATATGACACGATCGAGAGCCCTGGAAACGATTGCACCTTTGTCTCCCTGATCAATCCGCCCTTGAGGATAGGTTTACCGATTAGGTGTAGTTTAATGTAAATTAAGTAAAATAATTATTACAACAAAGTGAGTAGCAAATATGAATGAATAACTGATGAAATGGTAATTATAATATTTCATAGGCAAATACTGTTTTTGAGATATGGTCTACTAGTACCTACCCAAAACAATTAAAGAAATCAATTATTGTAAATTAAACTATTGTTCTAAAAATATAGTAAGTAATACGATATGATTAAATAGGTTATGGGAATATTGGGCATATGATGGTTATTTGAATTAACTTATTACACATCATGCGATAACAATATGTTACTCGATTTCTTACGTATAAAATAAAATATATTTGGCCTTGAAAATCAATCAGTATTATCTAATATTGCATAAAATATGTTGGTTAGTATTATATTATAAAAATAATTAGCAATTACACGTACTATCACACAACTATCATCTACCTACCATATAAAAATAAATCGTAACTGACTATAAAATCGAATGTAACCTTGTTCTCAATAATTTTTTGCACAAATAAACGTGGATGATATTATAATCATTTGATATACAACCACGCCTTTCCAAGCCTTTGACTAAACTCATTTGAAATTAAATCTCTACTCTCAAGCCCGAAAATTATTAACCGTCTGTACAATAGCATACGGAACACACGTTGTTTCACAAATTAGGCTACCAGAACAAGGTGAATAGGCGGGTATAAGGGTCAACGTTGATATCGATAAATTCCGAACAACATAACATTATAGTAGTGTAACGTAAAAATAAGACTACAGCATAGCTCCGAGTGAGTCTTACAAGTGCGTCAGATTTACGACTGTGTGGAGTGTATGAAATATTATATTGTATCGTTCGCAAAGTAACAATTTTCAATGTTTTAATTATGATCGCGTAAATACCTATAATGGGCCGAGTTTCTAAAAAATCTTTTAAAAGGTCTACCAGACCAAGAGCAAAGTCTATGATCACGGATTGCGAAATTCAACCGCTTTTAAATTCCGATTTGAGCAGAACAAGTTTAGCGTGAGTTTAACAAAACATATTATTTAAACATTTTTTTATCGGCTACACGTTAACATTTTGTTTTTATTGTACCAACAATTATTTCATTTATTCATTTTTTTTTTTTCTAGAGAAAATGGATTTATATTTAAATATGATTCGGAAAATAGCGATTTAGAAAACAATAAAGCCCCTACTACGCATTCAAAAGCTAATGAATTGTTATATCCGTATTACTTGAGGTATGCTCGACATTCAGAGACATTGTAAAGTTCATGTTCTTCATAAATTATCTAATCACTAGTTAAACTGTGTTGATTAATGCTGTTATCAATTTTAGATCGTTTAGTTTGGACTATGACATATTAAATAGACCAAAATTTTATCGAAAATTACAGCCTTATATACCTTTGGGCGATACAGTAAGTTTCATATTTTATATAGTTACAATGTAATAATGAATTGTCGTTACAACGCATACAAATATTAAGTTAAACGATTAATAAATAAATATTATCTACAACATGATATTATTATTTACGTAAATAATTGATGAACTATTATGATATTTTAACATTTTTAACATTTTTAAACATATTAAATCTAACTGTCACTGAAATAATCCCGTTTTTATCTTGAATGATTAGTTAATTGTTTTATTCAAGCGATTGTATTTTTAATTTTTATTGTATATATTATTTTAACATAGAAATAAAAGAAAAAATATCACTGGTCAATTATTAATTATAATTGTTATACTTATATTGTTTTATATAAAAACATTAATTAAATAATGTTCAAAAGTTTACTAAAAATTACTTCAATTGAAGCTATCCTAAAATTATTATTTTAAAGTTTAAATTTTCCATAACAATTATTAGTTAATAGTTATTTTAAGAATTTTATATTTTTTTTACATATAATATAATTAAAATTGAATAGTACGGATTGTACTAAAACGTTGTCTTGAACATTTAAAGCTCAAAGTTCCATAATTTATAAAAAAAAATTAGTAATATCATTAATATTGTTATTATTAATAACGACCTGCGTAGTCTTTAATTTTCAAACTATTATTGTAATAGCTGATTGTAATAAATAATGATATTTTTAAATTCTAAAATTGTATTATGGTTTCTAAAATTTACTTTTTAATAGTAACTAAGGTACATACATTTGTTACAATGACAATTATCTTATACGAGATTTAGTTTTCTGGACATACTATATAGCTAAATTAATCATTACAATACGAATTATTTATTTACAATCTAAATATGTTTATCACAAAAAAGAAATTATTTTAAGTAAATCAGTAGTAAATTAAATTTAGGAAAATGTATATTTATATGGATTATGCTCTTGGTGGAACTGGTAAACCCTAATTAATCATTCTAATTTTGGCTAAAGTAAGAAGCTCATATGTGATTTTAATTGCAACTGCATCATCAGGAATTGCTGCTACTTTTTTACATGGAGAAAAAATTGCTCATTCTGTTTTCAAGTTGCCATTCAATCTGAACACCATTGAGACTCCAACGTGCAATATTAATAAACAATCTAATATGGCGAAAGTTCTGAAAAAATTTAAGCTCATAGTTTAGGATGAAAGTCCAATGTCTCATAAGAAAGGATTTAAGGCTTTAAACAACTGTCTGAAGAATGTGGAGAATTCAAATTTATTGATGGAAGGAGTCACAATACTGCTAGCTGGAAATCTTCGACAAACTTTACCAGTCGTTCTTAGATAAACTCGAGCTAATGAAATTGCAACATGCATCAAGTCTTCATATTTATGGCCTCAAATAGAAAAATTTTCTTTGACTATAAATATGCGATTACATTTAAAAGGAGACAGAACTGCTGAACAGTTTTTTAAGCTACTTTTAAGAATAGAAGATGGAAAATATCCAGAGTATGAAGATAAAATTACTTTGCCGACAGGATTAGGTACTGTTGTAAAAACTTTAAAAGAACTTACAGACAAAATATATCCTGTTATCGAAAAACCTCAAAGAAATATCAATGGACTGCCTATATGAGAGGGCCATTTTAACATAAAAAAAATGTGGAATACAGATTGGGTGAATTTAGTATTAGAAGTAGATGATGCAGTTAATTATTTAGTTGAATTTTTTAATTCACTCAAACCTCCTAGATTTTCACCACATTTATTAACACTAAAAATTGGTACTCCCATAATCTTTCTATAAAATCATAGTTCACAAAAACTGTGCGATGGCACACCTCTACGTATTACTGGTCTTCAAAAAAATTTGATAGAAGCTGAATTGATGACTGGATCTGCAAAAGGTGAATCAGTTTTTATTTCTCACATATCAATAATACCATCAGATTATCCATTCCAATTCAAGAGAATGCAGTTTGCTGTCAAAGTATGTTTTGCTATGAAAAATTAATAAATTACAAGGTCAAACTTTGAAAATTGCAGGAATCGATATAAGAGAAGATGGTTTTTTCACATGGAATATTTTATGTAGCATGCTACAAAGTCAGTACCCCAACAAGCTTAGTTATTTTGACACCAACAGTAAATACATCAAATGTAGTTTACAGAAAAGTTTTATAACCAAATTGTTGTCATAAATTATTATTTTTTATTATATACCTACTAAAGCTTATAGGTATATTAGGATAACGAAAAAAAAAGTGAACATGAGTGAAGCACATAGTCACAGTGTAATACATTTTTCTAAATTCATAAGATTCGGATTTTTATAAAACATTAAACAACATCAACACTCAAACAATTAATCAATTTAACAATTTAAACCACGCGTGAAGCCAGTATACACAATTTATATCTGTATACTAGCGCAAGCGAAGTTGATGTCAAAAGCTATAATAAATAAAACAAATAATGATAATAATCAGCTTAATAACTAATTAAATATTTTTTAAACAATCTTATTTAAATTTTTTTTAAATAGACAATATTTAATCTTGCCAGATAAAAACAATACAACCCGGCAATAACGGGTAATTCAGCTAGTATAAATATATAATAAATAACTAATAGCTAATAGTTGATACTGAATACCATTTCTGGAATGAGTGTACAAATTTATAAATCGTATATATATAATTAAGTTAACCGTATTTTGCCGAAAATATTTTATTGTTTTTTTAATAAATTTATAATAAATAAACAGTTGTTTATATTAAAACTAAAGTCAATAATTTCTTTTGACTCCTCTTGAAATTATTTATTTTTATAGTGAATATATGGATTTATGGGGTGAGGGGGGTAGTTAATTTGTGCAAACGTTTTCTCTCAGCAACGTTTTTAAAAAATATAAGTACATACTTAAGATAACATTTTTTTTTTTTTAATTCCTTAACAGTATTCTTACTTTCATTTTATTAGATCCCCTTCAGGTAATAACGAAATTAAAAATTGGCTGAACATTTATTAAATAAATGGCTTCCACCTAGTGTAATTTAAAAAAAATTTGAAATTAATTTATACAATTATAAATGAAACCTAAGTTTCTAATTTTAGATAATTATTTTATAAATCATTATTAATAGTATTAATATTTTTAATTATGTGGTATAGTACCACCACTAGGAGGGCTCTTACAATATACTACTCGTACATCTGTCTTCTTAAAATAATAATTTATTAACTATTCTTGCTGTTTCGCGTGCAGTAGATCGAATAAAAAACTAATTAAAAATAAAAATAAAATTTACTAATATACTTATAACGAACTTCACCTATATTTGTATCTGAACTTCACCAATATTATTGTTTTTTATTTATTCAATAATAATTTCTTATATTTTTGTTTTATAATTTTAGATTACCACTGAACCGTACACCCAAAATAGTGTTATTACAATGTAAGTATATATTCAATACAATTTTTTGTTATAATATATTAAAGGCCACAACTCTATGATTAATGGTTTTTATTATTAATTTGTTCATATTAATTACTAAAAGTACTTAAAATAAAGTCTTAATAGATATATCATAAAAAAAATATTATTATACAAATAAATTATGTTAGTAAAAATTCACATAGGTTTTGCGCGGACCACGGAAATATCAACATTCTATGGGAAATATTTTACTTGAAAGGCTTTTTGCGTAAGATAATATACTATATTATTTATTAAAAAATTAACTTAACAAACTTAAATAACGTCTTGCGTACCTATTTAGTTAATGTTATAAATATTTTGGGAAATAGATACGACAGGAAGTAGGTATTTACAGATTTGTTATCAAAAAAAAATATCTTTATTGCAGAATTTAGCTCTGACCATGAGTAAAATCGGAAAATACTTTTGCATTTGAATCACCGCGTGCGCATAACTTACATAAACTGATGTGAAGATTCGATTAAAACACGTATTGGATAGTGTTGGAGAAGAGTACGATCATAGGCATGCGCAGATCTGTATTTCAGGGGGTGCCTATAATACTTTTGAGGCCTATCTTATCAAAACGTGTAGGTAGGTGTATTTAATAAATTATAATGTATAAATAATTAAATAAACATAACTTTTACTCTAAATTGAACATTGTGATATATTAATCCCAATGAATATGTTTTCCTTGAATCTCGGATGTTTTTTCTCAGACTACTTCAAATATTTATGATTTGTACTTTTGTAGCCAATTGTAGCTGTTACATTATCATCGGAAGTTTTTGCACGAAAATTTAGTTTTATTTTTTCTACTACGAAACATCTTTAAAAAAAATTAGTTATAATGTGCGCCCCTTACTCTTAGGCTTAAACTGCAGGTCTCCGTTTACACCATTTCGGGAGGTGCCCCGGCACAATTGGCACCTCCCGTGCGCATGACTATGAGTACGATCAGTACTATCTATGTAATATCGAGTAAAATATTGTAGCTATATACATGCAGAGCAGGCAACAATAAGAGAATCTCATAAATAACAAAAACATATTATTATAAACATACGCGCGTATATAATATGTGCACTGCACTACACGTTACGTCTACTGCTGGTGACACGTGTACGTGTACGTGTGTGTGTGTGAGAGAGAGAGAGAGAGATAGTATTACCTTATTATTCGGAACCTGCGAGATTCTTTGGTGTTCGACGGCACAGCGTCCGGAAGTGAAGGCGTTAAAACAACGACACAAAAGAATCGTGTAACACGAGAGATATTTTTATGTGTAATAAATACGCTGTGGTGTTGTGTGGATCGAATTCACGTGGTACGAGATCGATGTTACTCGAGAGAGATGATCTGATGTACGGTTGTACGTAAAATTCTCAACCGCGGTCGGTGGGGGTGCACAGGACTGCGGAAAATAGGTGATGAACGAGCGTAAGACGACGTGCGGTGACCGCCGACCGGTAGGCCGGCCGGCCGGCATTTGATGAATGGGGTTGAAACAGCGGCGCGACGACGGAGGCGGAACGCGCGCTGTTCCCCGTGACCGTATATACGCGCGCCAAACGTCCATCGACGGTTACGGCGACGGCGAAAAGGGGTTTATTGATCTGCCAAACGAACCCCGGAGAGTCTGGGGTCGTTGCACCTTATACACCGAGCTCGCCGTCGTCGTTCGGGTTCAACGGCCGGTGCGCGGTCGCGCAGGGTTTCGCGGCCGTAACACTCGTACATTTTATTACATCGATGTCTGTTATGTATTCGTACGTATTCTTATGCACTTATATATATATATATATAGTATGGTGTTTTGTTGAAAGGGCGTATACCACATAATTGAAATTGTTCAGGAGGAACAAAATAGTGTTTTTAAAAATGATACCGCTAAATGATACCTAACCTAAGGTCGGTTGATCTTGGATATACCTTCATTTAGTAGGCATGTTGATAATTTGATAACAATTATCATTCAAATGCTTAGTTTATTCGATAAACCACTAGCAATTCCTGTAGTATACGCCCTTTTAAAATTCTCCGTTCAAATATATATATATTCTTTAGGGCGTTTGGATAACTTATATCCACTATATAGAGAATAATTCTTAATATTTCTAACCACCTCAATATAACAGATTATGCGCCTATTTTTTCTGAAAATTTTGATACCAAAAACACATTTTTCGTTTTTTTTGTGGTATACGCCCTTTCAACAAAATGCCATCGATATATATATATATCTATATATACGTGTTTACAGTGCTTAAACGTGTAAAAACTTATTTGCTATGTAATTTTTCGCGCCGCTTTTATACGATATACATGTCATTATCGTTAGGGCGCCCGCGTACAACAGTATTACGGAAAAAAGGACAATGATCTTTTAAATTATTTGTAATATTTACCTACCTTTTGAAATATTTTCAAACATTTGAAAATATTATCCTAATGATATACCGGTGTTCTACCTTAAGCCCGTTCGTATACCGTATTTATCACTAAACAGGTTTTCCCGTTAAGATTGCAAACTTTTTAGATTCTCAGGTAATCTAATGTTTGCTTTTTTCTTCTTTTAAATTTGAAAACTTCAAATTTTGAACGGAAAATGTCGACAACAGCAATGTTTTCGTAATACTGCCTACAAATTTACTCGTAATGATATTCATTTTCTATTTTACTTCGCCGGCGCAGTATTTTTATAACCGTGATGCCATTAAAAACGGATGTAAATTATACTTCTCGCGATGTACGTATGAGTATAATATATACTGGCTTTTGATGAACACCATGTCGCAATAATTAGGGGCGTAACACGTTTACGCCAAAAGTATACCTTTCCCTTTTCCACCAAATTATATTTTGATTGATACCTGTTTACGCCGAACCGATTTCAATATCACTTACAAGTACATGAATTATTTTTTTATAAATATGAAAAGTACACTATTTATAGACTGGAAATACTCGTAGAGTCGTAACAAATCAAGTTAATAGATTGTTTATGATTTATCTAATTTAATCGACTTAAAAGTACATATTAGTACATGAGAAAACTCGTTTTTTAGTACTATGTTTAAGTTTATGATTTTTAAATATATAGACATAATATATTATGGTATAGATATATATATGATAACCTTTCCGGTACTGATGGGGAGTTATTAATTTATTGCTATCGTATTTTATTTTAATGTTAAACAAGTCAACAAAATCAAATTCATTACAGAGTTCAATAAAAATTATATAAATACCTAACACACATAATACTGTGCTAAATACGTTTAACTGGTGAGTTTTGTAGTAGAAATTGTTTTGGTGGAAATGGTTATCGGTCAAAATATCATTTGGTGGAAAAGGGAAAGGCACACATCTCGTGAAAACGAATCCCACTCGAAATTAATCGATTACTCGTTAAAATTCAAAAAATCTATCCGCATGTAAACCGGGTAAATAAGGGTTCACGATATTCACCGGAGTTTTGATTAACCTAACAGTGGCGTATATAGAAAATATATTCGAGAGGGGCTACTATAGACAGAGTTTAATTACCACTGCTATCCAGGAATCACGAACAAGACACAGTAGGTACTTATCTACATTTCATTTACAGAATGTCCCAAAACGATTTGACGCAAATTCTAAATAAGCATAAAGCACCATTAAAATATAACATACGTTTAAAATAATTTTTAAGTTTTTTAAAACATTTCGGGGGTGGGACTGTAGCCCACTAGCCTCCCCCCTCCTATATACGCCACTGCAACCTAATCAAATATGAGCATATTTCATTCGTACGTATGTAAAGCGCAACTTAAGGTCAAGATTTTCGGAAAAGAAATTATTATTAATCACTTGCGAGTTGCGGGCGTACGTAAAGTTTTAGTGGAGTAATGATGATATAGTATAATATTATGATAGTCAAATACATAATGTCTGGCTGTTCCATATGTTCTTGGATCGAAACGTATTTTTTTTTATTTATTTTTTTTTTTTTTGTTGTTTACACATTGTTCGAATTTTTACTTTGACATGACAAATAAGATTTTTAGACGGGCCCCGAAAGATTTTATAAAAAACACCGTGTATCGTTGCAACGCTGTATGACCCATGTTAAGGCTTTATTGTTCTAGACGATGACGTTTTAAATGCGATTGTGTGTACACTGCAGTATACGACACGCGAAATATTTACGTTTCTGAAGAAACGAACAAAACGTATCTTTTATCAAGGCGTACTGTTCCGCGGTGGCATTGACCTTAGGTCCATATACGCATGTACAGTGTACATGCATGTACATTATATTATGTGTGTATATTATATTGACGTGTGTCGTGTCTGCATATTTTTCGATACAGTTTTTAAATCCGGGTCAGGGACAATACTCGTTGTCGAGCGGTGTATAAAAACCAAAAAGCTTCCGTACGCATTATTCTAGAGCTCCGATCGTCTGTGTGAGCGTTTTGCCGGATTCGGAATATAATTTACCGAAAGGAAAACAACGACCGACTATATTCTGTTAATTATGTTATGGTATTTTTTTTTGTTTATTTTATTAATATATTATTAAATACCTGAACAGAGGTATTCAATAATTATTCTCCGATGATTGACACGTAACATTCCGGGGCGGACTGAGGTCTTGAAGGCCCAGGTGGGTATCAGTTAGTTTGTGATACAACTAACCTAACCTAACTTGAGGTCTAAGCATACAATTTACAATTTCTAGAGAGCCTGCGTGAGCATGGCGATCTACCCGCCCTGCCAGTTCGGCCACGGCAACAACTTCGTTTACTATGCAGGCATACTTTAAAATGTTCAAACATAAATCATAACATTAATTGTCGTACACCAACGTATCCATTTGTTCGTGGAATTCACATGAAAATCTTTAACATTTTTTTTTATTCTTCATAAACATATTTACCGCTTGCAACCTCGTCCTATTTTTACGGGGATATTCGCCTGCAGTGGACAATACTATTTCGTACAACCCGTAAACCTTTAACAAAATTTAATATTAATCTATGGCACGGACATAAACTGCTGTTGTTTATTATAAATGATAAACGTTTAATATTTAAAAAACACAACTTTGTTGTTATAGTTTTTCAATATGGAACACTATTATGGGAACGTCTATATTGGCGATGCCTTGGAGTGTAGAACAAGCAGGACTAGTAATGGGTCTGTTCCTCATGTTTCTCATAGCCGGGCTTTGCCTGTACACGTCCAATTGCATTTTAAAAGTGCAAGTACTTCACGGTAAATAATATTTTTAAACAACGAACGTGTTAGCATCGGGTCCAATCAATACGACGGTTAATATTACCGTATCAGCCATATCATATTATAATTAATTCAGACCATTAGCGGTATAATTAATGCGTTGTGTTTGATTTATAAGGAAACGATACCGGAGAAGTAGCCCAATTGAGTAGAAAACTACTGGGTCCTTGGGCCGAAGTCATATCGAAATTGTTTTCATTCATGATTTTGCTGGGCGCCAACATAGTCTACTGGATATTGATGTCAAATTTTTTATACTATTCAGTCGGATACTTTCACGATAAGAGACAGCGGTCATTCTTATGAACGATGAATAACATCAGAATAATCTGAGTGGAATAGTGTTATGTTTAGGTTCCCGATAAAATATTTACTTTGATTTTATGTTAGTCATATAGATACTCAACATACAGTCATGCGTCTTGCATCACGTGTGCATTTAAACGAGAAAAATAAATCTCTACAAGTCTATAAACAAACGATTTGTCGAATTGAACGTGGCACGTGGAAATTTTTACTTTTCACGTAGAAGTGTATTTCAAATACTATACCAAATACATTTGATAGATTCAAAACATAAAATATTATATTGTTGGAATAATTACAATAAACCGGGGCTGTAGGATTGAATTTAAACGTTGTACAATCTATTAAATATTCTATTTTCCCGATAAATATTCTAAAATATAGTATTTCGTCTAATTTTTTTCGGGAAACGTGCATACAGTTTCATTTGGCAAATTTCTAGATTGGAAATTGGACATTAACTGTAGTAGAGTTAATTTTATTAAAATAATTCATTAATTGAATAATATTAATAAATGTTGTATATTAACGTAAAATAAAACTGGAGCACAATATTAAGGACCGTTTACTTATATTTTAATAATCTTTGATAAAACGAATAATTTCGTGTTATATAACTTACGAGAATGTTAATGCTAAGCGAAAAAATTGCGATCAAAATAGTTTTTTAAAATCAAGACTGTTATTCAAAAACCAATTACATGTATAAATCGTACAATTTTTTCGTTGTTGTTATTTTTGCGAATATCTTCTATCATAACGGTAGATATCTACTATTGGGAATTATGAAAATATCTTTTTCGTTGTTGAACGACCGTCGTGGTATGATCTTAATAAATATTAGTTATAGGTGCAGGAGTTATAAAGTCTAATAAAACTTTGTTTTCTTAGTTCAAGAATAATTCGTTTTTTTTACTTACGAAACATCCAAATAATGTAACCACGTTTTAGCATTTTAGGCGTTCGATCGGAACATTATATGATTCCCGATTCTAACTATTATTACTGTAATCGTATTACTATGATATTGTCACAATTTTTTTTTTTATTATCACTATAGTTATGTTTTGTTTTGTGAGGTAGATTTTTTTTTCGCCGACGAACACACCGGGGCGTTCGAATTCAACACCACCAAACGTGAGTGACACACACGATTTATACGTTGAATTTTCGTTCGCAATTATTGTATTGTAATGTGACACGGGCAAAATGTTTCGTTTCGTTTCAGTATTATGTCCAAGCAATGCGGCCTACAACAACGCCACGGTGAGCGCGACGAGGCCGTGGACGTTGTACGAGAAGATTTGGGATCTCCACACGACGGTGCCGGTGTTCCTCATCGCCATCGTGGCCCCGCTTCTGAACTTCCGGTCGGCGACGTTCTTCACGAAGTTCAATTGCTTAGGTGAATCCAGAGCACTCCTGAAGTAGCACTTATAGCCAAAATAACGTCGATTCGACTGTTGTTCTAACTCGCAGGAACCCTGTCGGTGCTGTACCTGTTCTTTTTCGTCATCATCAAGTCGTACAGCTGGGGCATAAACGTGTCCACACCTGTGGTGGCCGGGTCCACGGACTACTCAGAACTGTACAAGAACACTTTTCCCGCGACTTCGGGCATGCTCACCCTGTCGATGTTCATACACAACATCATCATCACGATTATGAGGAACAACGAGCACCAGAAACATAACGCGAGTACTCGTTTAGCCGCAAAAACCGTTTCAAATACTAACTGTACGAATTTTCTCAATCGTTATAGGGACGAGATCTGTCGATAGCATTCTCTCTGGTTCTCTTCACGTACATACTCATCGGAATCACTTTTTACGTGTGTTTCCCATTGGCCAAATCGTGCATCGAGGATGTAAGTATTAATATACACACAAATATATATATATATATTACAGTTAAAATCCGAAATTCTAAAAAAACTAGAATTAACCAGGACATCAATTTTAATACTAATTTTAAAATATAATTTTGTAACAAAAGTCTATCAGAAATTAGTATTATTTTTATTATTTGTTTTTAAAAGGTAAACTATCATGGCATTTATCGTGACATAATTTATGAAAATAAATTAAAATAACTTCGATCGGCCGGCGGTCAAAAATCGACTGTCATACAATATACCTAACTTCTTCTTCCTGACTATAGAAGCAGCAGTGACAGGAGTTATAGGAACAAAAAGAAATGTATCAAAAGTTTGGTTCAATAATATGTGACAGAAAGTACTACAAAGAAGAAAATTTGCTCGCGAAGAATGGTTAATGGATACGAACAATGAGATAAAGAAAACAAGGTTTATCACACGACAAAAGGAAGCAAATAACATTTTATGACATGAGAAAAAAAAATTTGTACGTAACTTGTTAGAAAGAGCAGAACAAGATTTTAAAGCAAGCAAAACACGGAGACATGTACAAGACTATTAAGAATTTAAGTAGGGATTTAAAAAAAAAACGAACGTCTTATTAGAGGTTGTAGTGGATCCTTAGTCACTACAGATGAATATATAACTAAGGAATGGGAGAAATATTTTGAAGAGCTACTGAACTGTGAAAAACCAGATGAATTGTTCACGTTTGACCTAGAAAATATAAATGACCAAGAATGCCTAGAGCCAACTCTAGAATAAATAAAATTACAAATAAAGAATCTACAAAACAATAAGTTTCCAAGCAAGGATGGTCTCCAGGCTGAATTGCTGAAAAAAGGAGGAGAGGACATGATACAATGGATCTGGCAAGTGATTAAAAAAGTATGGGTAACGGAAGAATTTCCAGAAGATTGGAAAACGTCCCTAATCTGCCCAATACACAAAAAAGGAGATAAACAAGACCACAATAATTATAGGGAGATTGCCCTATTGAATGTGGCGTATAAAATGTTCTCAAATTGTATTCTAACAAGACTAAAGGAAAAAGCAGAACAGACAATTGGTGAGTATCAAGGAGGTTTTAGACCGGGAAAGTTAACGACGGACCAAATATTTATTATCAGACAATCATACCAAAAGACATGGGAATTCGATAAAGAGATAAATACGTTATTTGTTGATTTCAAAAAAGCATACGACAGTATTCATAGGGAAATTCTCATAAATATTTTGAAAGCGTTCGATTTTCCCCAGAAGTTGATCAATTTAATCTCAATCAGCATCATGAAAACCGTGGTCAAAATTAAAGTCAGAAATATGAAATCGGATCCAGTTACAGTAAGATCCGGACTCAGGAAAGGTGATTCCATCTCACTTATTCCTTTTAACCTGGTTCTGGAAAAAGTAATAAGATAAATGAAAATTGAACCCCACGAATGAATACAACTCCAGAACTCAGCTATTCCTTTATTGGCATATGCCGATGATATAGTGTTGATGGACGAATCTCAATATGGAGTAAAATAGCTCTGTGAAGGACTACAAATTAATGAACAAAACACTGAATAAATGATTATTGGTAGACAAAATTGGATGGACCACATTTTGGAGGTGGGTCATTTTAAATTTAAGAGAGTAAATTCGTTCAAATACCTTGGCTCAATTCTGAGTGAAAAAAATGATATCACCAAAGAAGTAGCTGCGAGAATCCAAGCGGGAAATAAGACTTTTTATGGTATAGTAAAACTATTAAGTTCTAGATCATTATCAATAGAGATAAAGAGACGTTTGTATACCAGCCTAATTCGACCAGTGATATTATACGAATCGAAAACCTGGGCACTAAGAAAATCAGATGAAAATAAGTTCTTAATTCTAGAAAGGAAAATATTACGGAAGATCTTCGGTTATATAAAAGACGACATCACGGGTGAGTGGAGAAGAAGGAGGAATAGAGAACTACAAGAAATTTTTAATGAAAATAACATAGCAGAGACGATCAAGAAAAGAAGGTTGCGATAGGTAGGACATGTAATGCGAAGCCAGGACTCTCTACTAAAAATAGTGCTGGAACAGAATCCAGTAAGAAAATGGCCCTTGAGAAGACCAAAATTGAGATGGGAAGATATAGTTAAGAAAGATATAGAAAACTTAGGAGGCGAAGCAAACTGGAATAATTTTCAAGTTAATAGAGACGGCTAGAGAACTGTAATTCTACAATAGTTTGCTTTATCATAACAAATAATAAAAATTACACTTATTTAAAATTTACTTTTATTACAGAATTTTATTTAAAAACTATTAACAATAATGAAGTCCTGGTTAATTTTATAGTATAACTAGTTAAAACTAGTTTTGATGTATGATATTTCGGTTCTTAATTGTAACACCAACATTGAAATCATGGTTAATTAGTCAATTGACGAATTTGATTTGTGAAAACAAGTATTGACGAATTTATCTATACTTAATATATATATATATATATATATATATAACGTTAGTTATAAGGAACACTTACAATGGGCAAACTGCTAATAACGTTCACTCAATCAAACGATGTGTTTATATACCCGACTATACGATGCGGTACATAAAACATAAAACATACATAAAACATTGCATATTATTTGCAACTGTACCTACATCGTAAGCAAGAAAATTAAATGTATTCCGATTTCTGAAACGAAACGGAAAAAGTATAAAATCATTTTTTTTATCATACTAAACTTTAAACCGAAAGCATTGTAAAACTAGAATTCAGATTATTATTGCACAATTTTTTGTTTTGCGAAGATAAATATTGTTATTTTACGCTTTTTTTTTAATCGAATAATACTACACACAAACAAAATCATTAATTTCCTTTTTAGGTTCGTAAAATAAAAATTAATCTAACTACAGCACTGCAGTATATTGTATAACAATGTCAGTATTAATTTATCAATTCGGAACAATCCATACTTGCGTATAAATATTTTAAATTTTAATATGTGTAATAGCATTATGATTGTTTATAAAAAACACCCAATAGGTACTATTGGTTATTGAGTACTCATGTTCTTGTTTAGTTTGTATTTTCTCACCTGTTGTATTAACAACACAAAATAATTTAATTAATATTAATACTATCATTTTATACAATACGGTTATTATACAAATATTTAATTTGATGTGTCACTAAAAAATACATTTTATTGTATACTAGTAAAAATTTATAATGTTTATAATAAAAAAAACATGATAAAATATAAGATTGAAAAATTAATAATTGAATCATTCAGTAAAATTATTAAAAATTGAGTACTTACTTAATAAATATCAAATATATAAATACTTAAATGTTTTTTTTTTTTTTTTTTTTGATCCAATATATCTGGTTTTAATGTTTTTTAAATTTGGCAACTTTAACAACACAATTTTCAATAATTTAAAATATTGAAAAGTCATGTCCATAATAGTTAATATAGACTAATGATCTGCAATTCCACTATATTAATTAAACACTTTCATTAACATGCTTTATGAAATGTTGTATTACAGTAAAATGTACCAATACACGATTAATTATAATTAATGGTTAATGTTAACCACACTGAGAGAAGATTTTGCACATAATTTCATACAATTTTCTTAAGTGTCCATCAATTAGGTACCTACACACAATTAATTATATGTAAACAATAATTAGGCCATGTTTATACCCATTATGATACATAATTGTCCTTCAATTTTATGTGTACTGAAATACATAGATAATTTTATTAATAATGTAGTCTTACTATTATTTTTTTTTTTCAGAACTTTTTAAACAACTTCCCCAGAACAGATGTGTTCAGCATTATCGCCAGAATTTTCCTATTCTTCCAACTATTGACTGTCTACCCTTTAATATCGTACATGCTAAGAGTTCAAGTGTTTGCAGCTCTCGAATTATCAATTTACCCTAGTGTTTTACACGTCATTGCACTTAATTGCCTAGTTATTATTATATGTGTATTATTTGCAATATTCATGCCCCACATAGGAACTGTCATAAGGTAAGTCAATCCAATAAATTAATAATTATCTAATAAAACATAGGTCAACTTAACATAGTCAGTTTATATACGAAGTACAATTACATTTTTCTCAGATTCAGTGGAGCGATTTGTGGATTCGTATACATATATACGTTACCAACCATGTTGCATTTGTCATCGCAGAACAGGCGAAATCTTTTAACAATAGGATCAATCATATTCCATGTTTCAATATCAATACTCGGTTTAGCTAATCTAATAGCACAATTTTTGGTTTAAAGAACAGCTTTGAGCTTTTAACTTATAACTGTTCATTTTTATCAACATAAATACTCTTACATTAAATTTACATTCATATAAAGCAGTTTTTTAACTGTGATCTCTTAATGACAAGAGTGTGATATCTATTGGCATTCTATTATGTATTTTTTAAACATATACTATTTATACTATGTGAAGCTACTATTTATTATATATTATTTATTTATCTAATACAAGATAAAATAAGCAAAAATGATTGTGTTTTTATTTAATTGTAAGTGTGTTACACAACAACATATTATGTAAATACAAGCAGTTCAAATTTATTATTATTTGTTACTCATATTGAATACTTTTAAAAATCAATAATCAGTTTTTCTACAATTTAACATACATTTATATTTATATTTCGATGTACAAATTAACAACAATATAACATTAGATAAATTCAGATGTATTTATGATTTGGTCTTACATATTTTATAAGCCCAAACTCTGTCTATTCCTGTGCCGATGATTAGATAAGGTTCTAAATTCGGAAGAGGAAACCGGCAAGCAACTATCACAGTTTCATCAGATAATTCTGTTATGAATTTTTTTTCAAGATCACACATCTAAAACAAAAACAATTTTCAATTCACAATTTGGTTAAGATAAACATTATTTAATATAATTTAATATAATTAGCAATAAAACATAATTTTAGACCTTAGAACATAATAATATCAATAAATCAATAGACAATCAATACTTAAGTTAGAGCTGCAAATGAGAGAAGTCTATGGCAACCAAACATAACATTTGAGACCATACCCAGAAAAGTATTTCTATTGGTAAGTAGGAATTCCAACCATCAGTTTATATAGATCTAAAAGTAGTAGGTATCAAAGACCTAAAATTATTGTATAAGCTAAAACCATGAGTTTTTTAAATATCACATTTTATGACTTACCGTTTCACTCAAAATATTTAGAAATATAAATTACAATACATCAAGTGATATAAATACAAGCCAGTTGTCTAGACTTCAAGATAATACTTTTTTATTACAATGAACACATTTTAGATGATCTGGATGAAATTGATAATGAAATATCACGGCTCCCATTATTCATCTTTTCAAAAAGTTTTTGACCAACTGTCCATTATACATAAGTACAAACTTATATTATATACATTCTATTGAATAGTAAAATAATTCAAAATTTGATACTGACTACAGGATGCAGCTCATTAGGAAATAATAAATAGAGATTTATGACGGTGTTATGGTATGATCAAGTTAATTTTATAGGAATTAAATTTAACGCACATAAAAACCATAAAAAACTCAGCACTGTGAAACCAATAGTATATAATATTATTTTTTAATTATTACTAACCATTTCTTCAACGCCAAATATAATGACGTTTGAAAATGGTTTTAAGTGATATTTCCACAAATCTGTTCGAACAAATTTTGGAGCAGGCTGAATCTTAGACTTCATTGCAACAAAACGCGAATATAACACTAACCAAAAATTTAGTTCCACCCCAACTGATTCAAAACCGGCTTTAGCTGTGTTCATGACCTGAACAAAAATGATAATACGTATAAATACAATAATTTGTTAACATAAAATTTATCAATAAATAGTACATTAAAAGAAAAGAAAATTCAACGTACAATTCTTCCATCGCCACTACCCAAATCTACCAATTTTCCCTTGCGTCCTTTGATTACACTAAGAACATTTTGGATTTGTATGTTAGTTGCTGGCACATAGGGCAAACATACTTTTCGTAAAGCTGGCGATACAAATGGATAACAAATTATGCTCAAGGCAATTGAAGCTCCACCTAAAACAATACACGACAAATATTAAAATTGTTAAGTAATGCACTTATCATGTCAAAACACATATCAATAGTGTTGGCCTGGCCATTGCTGTAATACCGCAAATACATCTGCATTCCCTGGGCAAATTTGTGTCAAGAGGTCTAAAGATTTATTATAATAATCATTGTAATTGAGATTTTTTATAATATTCCTTACTGGTGATCTTTTAAGTTAACTAAAAATATTACTGTTCTAAAAAAAATTAATTTTACAATTTGTACATTATTAAAAAAATATTAAGTTGTATATTATAAGGTGTTATTTATATTATTTATGTAACATTATAAAATTATAAATAACTATGCTAACTACGTATTTAACTTGTTTGTGTATTCTTAATAAGGCACAATTAATAAGTTATATTATGTTCTATTTTATTATAATAAGATGACATTTTCGGGGACCTTTATAAAGAAATGCATTTGGGGTTCTTTAAGTACTAGGCTGACACTGCATATCAATGTAATTTATGTACAATGAGATAATAACAAGAAACCAAACAAAATACCTGTTAGTCCAACCAGAAACAAGCCGTGAAGGCTCTTAGTACTGACTGAATCTTCTTTTTCTATGGACCGACTTGAATTGAAGAGCAAATCATCAGTGGTCATATTGATATGTACACCTAAAAATAACCATCCAATCAATCACTAAATACATTTGTGGTTTTTTTCATAGCATTGTTGTTTATTTTAATTACTAAAATAACGATTAAGCTGTTAGCTGTGCACATAACACACACATCTTGAACGGTAAGAAATTATATAACAATGATTGACTTTAAACATTTACTTGTTCTACTTGCGGAAATAAAATATTAAAAAATGAGGAAAACTAAAAAAATAAGTTATAGTATTGTTCATTATTGAATTCCATGCGAACATGACCTTTTTTAATTTTTTCGGTACATAATAGATCTGTTTTGCTTAAAACGGGTGCGCGACAATATATGATAATATTGTTGCGGTAAAGTTACCTTCAAGTGGTTTTTTTTCGCGTACCGCAAACGGATTTGGTCGTCAAGTTTATTTCCACAGCTCACTCATGACGTGTCGCGACATCCGTCTATAATCTGAGTAATAATCTAAAGTATAATCTAAGTCTATAATTTTGAATACTTCTGAACATCAAGTGCTCGAGTATTATTTTTCTTCTTTATCAAAGTTTCCCGTAAGTCCGCTTATCAGACGTTTTAAAATTTTATTCAATGCCAACGAACGGGCGGTGAAATCATGAAATAGATTAAATTATTAAAATTAAATCTATTTTGTGATGAGATACCGCGGCTGTCGTAAACATTATTATTATTAATTGAGATAATAAAATGCAAATATGAAATCGAACACTTAAGACCGTTCCTTAATAACTGGTCTTAATCGTTCTTACCAGCAATCGAATATTCATTCCGATGTTCGTATACACACACTTTTATTACCGATTCGTTTGAGTAGATACTCAGTTTCTGAAAGAATTGCAAAAACTATTATTTTTTATAAAAGTTAATTTAAACGATATTGACTGGAATTCCATTGACTCTCTCTGCGATTGAAAATGTTTCACAATATTGACACTTGCCTGGAAAAATATATCCCACAAGAAGAATTGAGTCATGTCCAGAGGATTTTGTATGGGAAAAAATTACAGTAAGTCATTTTAATATATTGTTTGGCGTAAAATGAAATTGAAGAAAGAAAATGTATCGAACCAAAAAATTGGCATTTATTTTATAAAAGCTAACTTTTACAGTTACTTATGAGCAAAGAACATTTTCAAACAACTTTTTTCTAAATATTTTTGTCACAGAAAACTTGAATTACCAGCAACGTGTATAAGCAATAAGGACAATGTGGAAGTGAAAGGTTTCAAGTTTGACAGTTTAACCGAAGAGTTACGAGAAAAACGGTATGAACTATTTGGTTTTCCATCCATGTTAGGAAATTATAGAACTGGGTTAAAAATTAGTACATTTATGAATGTTGTTTAAACACAAAATATTTTTCAAAGAAATGTATTTGTATGATATTAATATATGTATATTATGTATTAGGATAGTTAGAGTTGGCGTTATTCAACATCAAATTGTCCTCCCTACAACTGCTCCATTAGTTGAACAACGAAATGCGATTTATGACAAAGTTGGTAAAATAATTTCACTTGCAGCTGAGGCTAATGTAAATGTATTATGTCTTCAAGAAGCTTGGCGTAAGGTAGTGATAGATAGTTGTTGAATATTTTCCTAAACATAGATATATTTTTCAGCAATGCCTTTTGTGTTTTGTACAAGAGAAAAATTTCCTTGGTGTGAGTTTGCTGAATCAGTTGAAGATGGACCGACTACTATGTTTCTAAAAGATGTAGATAATAAATTTAAAAATAGGTTTGAAATTAATAATTTTATAAGTTATATGAATTCAAACAGTTTTGTAAGCAGTACAATATGGTGATTGTTTCGCCTATTCTGGAACGTGATGAACATGAGGTCATATGGAATACAGCTGTAGTCATAGACAACTTTGGTAAAGTAATAGGAAAGCACAGAAAAAACCATATTCCTAGGGTGGGTGATTTCAATGAGTCTACTTATTACATGGAAGGAAACACGGGCCATCCCGTTTTTGAGGTACTAAACTCGTATTTGAAATTTAATTAGAAAATAAAAACAATAAAATGGTCATTAGTTTAATAAGTTTAATTTAGACAGCTTTTGGTCGAATTGCCATTAATATTTGTTATGGTCGTCACCATCCTTTGAATTGGTTGATGTTTGGATTGAATGGAGCTGAAATAGTTTTTAATCCTTCTGCCACAATCGATGGTCTAAGGTAAATTGTTGAACAAAATTATTCAGAATACAAAATGTCAACTATATTTAAACTATATTTTACATGTAGTGAAACATTGTGGGGAATTGAAGCCAGAACGGCTGCTGTAGCCAATAGTTATTTTTCGTGTGCCATCAACAGAGTGGGCACAGAAATCTTCCCAACAGAGTTTACTAGTGGTGATGGTAAACCAGCGCACCAAGATTTTGGTCATTTTTATGGTTCCAGTTATATAACTGCTCCTGATGGTTCAAGAACTCCTGTAAGAAAATTGAATTAATATTACCAATTTTAATAAGTAATAACTGATTAAATTAAAATATATTTAAGTTTTTTATAATAATACCTAAAAATTTTAATTAATTGTTTTTAAAATTAAAATCTACATAAAGACATTTATTTTACATAAAAAAATATTGTAAATTTATCAAAATATACCCTAGGATAGGTGCAATTTACTATATAAAAATGGTTTAAAATTACCTAGAGGAAAACTCTTTATTGGCACAGTAAAAAATCTTTTGTAATAATTAAACCGAAATGATTATCCCTATTTAAGTTTGTAACTATTTATTAATTTTCACAATTTATAAATTAATATTTAATGGAAATAATTTAATATTACTAATAGTTTTAATAAAATCTGCTGTTCTCTTTCAAGGGCCTTTCCAGGACTAGTGATGGATTGTTAATTTCAGAAATTGACTTGAATCTTTGTAGACAAGTGAAGGATCATTGGGGATTTCAAGTATTGTTTTCTCATTTTTTTTTTTTTTTTTTTTAAATTAATTAATTAATTAATTTTTAGATGACTCGGCGTTTAGATTTATATGCAGATTCATTAGCAAAAATTGTAAACACTGATTGATTTTGTCTGCTTCTACATATAATTGTAATTATTTAAACAGCACAATATCATATAAACCTATTAACTCTTTTTGATTGATTTTACTTAATAATTTATCATGTTTTTTTACAAACATTTTTTTTAATCTTCAATTATTTCAGTTTGTATACCATGTGATGTAACTAAATATTTATAATATAGCTACTATTGTTAATTATTTCCCTCCCAAATCCAACAAAAAAATTTCACAAACTGATAACATATATTAGAGTGGAACTATCACTTAATTAATACAGTTGTCATTACATAGTCATTCAATAATGTTGGCCTCCACTTTTTCATTTTTACTTTTAGCAATCAGTAAATGTTTAGCATATGATAGTCAATGGGTACCTAGCTTTTACTTAGGTAATTATCCCGAAAGATTTCAAACACTAAGAATGTATCGGGGATCATGTGTTATGTCTTTTAACACTTATAAAAGTAAACATTATAATGTGGAAATACCTTTGATCAATGGGTCATTACCAGCTGGGTTTTGCGCAATACTATTAACTAGTATGGAAAACTCTAGTTTGGCCATAGCAATAGAACAAGGATTGACTGATGTGAATAACAACTTATTAAATCAAAACATCAAATTGTTTAAGGTGAAATATGGAAATGTCAAACTTATTCACGAGTAAGATATTATTCTTAGTTGTATTTAATAAGCATTATAATTATTCATTATTGTTATTTAAGTATAAAAATAATTTTAATATTAGAAAATATTTAAATGTTGTTTTTTAACAAAATATTTTGATTTAAAATTACTTCAAATAGAAATTTATTTAATTCTGAATAGTAATTCAAAAACTATATTTAATAATAAATAGTACACTTGCAACCTAGATTTTTAATATTATATTAAATTGTTACAGTAGCTGTGGATCAAATGATGTTCCTGGTTTAACACTGGCTGAATCAAATACCGCAATACTACTAATAAAAGCTGATCAAAATATAAATTTCTCATTAAGTGTATATACTTATCAATCTTTTATTACTAAAACATAACCTTATAATTAAAATTTTTTGACTTCAAGAAAACTAATTTATATAAGATATTATCATTATTAGTATTAACATATATTATATGACCATTTTTGTTTTAATAATTATAATAAATTATAATACGTAAAATGAATTTTATTTGGAAAAATTGAATGTGAAAGATATACAATACATATATTTATATATTTATATCAAAACGTATTTTTTTATTTGAAAATGATTATCTGAAATCAGTAACACAAATCTCTACTATTAATGTATAATACTTTAATAAATACTATATTTAATGAAGTATTATAATTAATGATAATACTATGTCAAATACCAACATTTTTTTTTTTTAAAAGAAAATTATATATTTAATTTCATCTTAAGAAACTATTTAAAATGACTGACAGAGCTATAAAAAAAATAAATGTATATATTGCTTAATAAAATTTTATTTAAAAAAAAAATGTACACTTATCAGGTAGAAATTAAACTACAACAAAAAACTTGAATGAATAATAAGGAGTACAAATTGTTGAATTAAATATGGAATTAGAATTTTTTATAGACATAACATTCTATTTCTACTTTCACTACTTTTTTTTACAAAACTATACATGGTTTGCTTTAAGTTTTATTTAGTAAATAAAAGTAGAAGAAACATGTGTTAAAATGTACTTATTATGAATAATATCAAATTGACTTGAGGAAAAAATGATTTTAAAAATAAAATTTATAAAAATTAAAGGCTTCAAAACAATAAAATAAGTGCCTGATTAAGAAATGAAAGTGTTAAAATTGTTATTGTCTGTTCACAAACACTAATTAAGTTCAAATAATTATGATAAATATTGGTATTCGTTTTAACAGCCACATTGGTTATAATTTGTAATGTAGGTTAAAATAAATATATCTAACATGTAAATCAGCTTAAACTTTTGAAATAATTATTTTTACCATTTTTTTTTGTATGAGAATTCAAATAATGATAATATTGAAAATATTCATTACAGTTTGACTAATGAGTTTTTATTGTTATCTTAGTATTTCAAAATAATTATAATTGTAAATAGAATAATAAAAAGAAAGTGAAACAACTAACAAATAATCTAAAAAATTAATTAAATATTACATGTTTATGTAAATTAACCCTCATATTTTCAAGTTTAAAAGTGCCCATATAGGTTTTTAATTTTTTTATAAGTGTTTGATGTTATACATAAATTTTTAACTTTCACTATTTAGTATTAAAAAAAACTTTATACATTAACGTTCATTTTTAACTATTTTATTTCCATTTAAAACGAAAATGTTATTGTTGAACGAAAAATTAAGTTTAAAGATTTACATTATACTCTTTAATTTATATAGTAAAAGCATACAGTTAGATTATAAATGGCCGGAAAGCAATATACAATTGACTCCTTGTCATTCAACATACACAATAACTTCAGGCAATTATATATTGAATTATGATTCTAAAGTCACTGGAAATTATCAAAGTAAGTAATGTAAACCATTAATATTCTATATTTAATAACAGTATGGTAAAAAACGATTTATTTTTTAGATGACTGCACTTTTTTAATAGAAAGTCCACCAGGAACAAAAATGCAACTAAATGCAACTATTTCAATATTAAAAATACAAGATAATAAAGAATGTACAGACTGGTTAAAATTTTACGATTTTTATAGTAATACAACATTTGTTCCTTTAGGAGAGTAAGTGATAAATGATTACAATAATCAATGACATTTTAAATTTTATTTCTTATTTTTTAACAGGTACTGTGAATCAACAAATCTCACTAACTTACTAACTTTTTCAAACATTATGTACTTGGTAATTAATATTTCGCCAGATGATATGTTTCAATTAAATATCACCACATAAATGTTAAAGATTAATTAAAGTAATGAAATCAAAATAATTATATTTTTTAAGCACGAACATTTTATTAGATATTTAAAATATAAATACATTATTTTTTTTGTTAAATAAAGTAGCTTTATATACAAGCTTACTACAATCAAAATAATTTTTATAATATTAATCCATTATTATTTAATTATATTAATTTTTTTTTATCAAAATATTGTAGCTTATTAATTATTAGGTAGATTAAATAACGAAATTAAATGCAAAAATTATAAGAATCTTAATAGTTTTACTTTATTCAATATTAATTATTCCATTTTTTTGTATATTAGTCCTTATACTTTTGAATGCTTATTTATAATTGTTAATTTAAATAATAACATATAGTATTTAGGAATGGAATAAAACTTACTTAATAAGTTAATGATTTTTCCATGAGAGTAGCAGTGTTCATTAAGTTATCTTTTTCATTCTTAAAAAATAATAACATTGTTTCATCAACAGGTTCAGACCACCGTGAAACTTGTTTTTTTACTGCTAATCTAAATTCATCTTTTACTCCTTTACCAGCACCTCTTGTTGATATTCGTGGACTGCAAATATTAGACATTGAAGAAAATATATTTTTCATAATACAAAAAAAAAAAGAGACATTTGAATATCAAAAATAAATTATTCACCTTAATGAAGAAGCAACACAAGGAAATATATTTAAGACACATTTATCATTTTCCATAAACATAGCCATAAACTGTTCAATTATGTCTATATTTGTAATGTAAGCTATAAACTGAGGGTATGTAAACACAGGCAATTCAGCTATGCGTTTATACATGTCTTCAGCAATTGCTTTACCTTCAGGCCAAACCATTTGTGACAAAACTAAAAGATGACCAATAAGAAGATCACTAGCTGATGAAAAATTTGAAAGTTGATTCTAAACCAAAACATAATAATTTCAATATTTTTCATTCAATTTCTTTAACTTAGTTAAATTTAAAAATTAATACATGTTACTAACATAGAGTATTTGAATCATTATTTTAACACAATACTGTAGAACAGGCAATTTTGCTATTTGAATATAATACATTTCTCTATCCTCTGGAGGATTAGCTATTTCCATAGAAACTTCTCCACACAATTCTAGACTTTCTAATTGTTCTACTACTTTAAAAATATGCTCAGTGCATTTCTATATAAATTTAAAAAGAATAATTTTTAATGTTAAATTAAAATATATAAACTTACTGCTATTATTACCTTAAATTCTTGTACACAATAATATAAAGTTACTAATGATAATGATTTTCTAATACTTTCTTGAACTGGAACAGCTTTGAAAAGGTTTTTGTACTTCCCTTGGTAAAACGTAATGTCATTAAGAAACTGGCCAATGAATGTATCTACTTTAATTTGAGCACTTAATTTCCAATAATCTGCAAATATGTTGTACATTGTAATATAATAATATTTAAAAAAATATGTAAATATAGTCTTATTATACCAGTGCACATTGGTTCTTTATTAGTGAGCAATTCCCAATAATTAAAAGCCATTTTGAAATGATCAAGAACTTCAGAGGATTCGTCAGTTATACCAATTAATGATTCATTTAATTTTGTGGCAATGGATAGTACAGCTTGCTTTAAAGGAGGTTTATTAATTTGTACCTTGGGTCCTTTAATTGCTTTAACTAATAAATATTCTGAACCATCATCTAAAAATTAAAACAATTAACACAACATAAAACCAACTATAGTCGAAATAAATTCATTAAATATGATTAATTCATACTTAAAAGTAAATTTACTTCAAAAATATTAGTACTATTTATTCTAATTATATTTTAAGACTATAGAAAAAATGTATACTTAATTAAAATGTATTATATACTTAATTAAAATTTATTTAACATTAATAATGTTCATAATTTAGTTAAAAAAAAAGAATAAAACAGAATTGTAAAATTTTATAGAGTAACTATTACAAATATGATTTCTTACCCGGTTGTAAAGATTGATTATAATCATAAACATGTCTTACAAATAGTATCATACCACAAAAAACTAATTGTTTACTAAGTTCACTGTTATTTGAAGCAATAACGAACTTCTTTGCAAAACTTGATACCTTTTTCCATGCTTTTCGTTTGTCACTATATTAAAATAGATTCTCAATATAATATCCTTGAAGATAATTTATGTAAAACAAAATCTTAAAACTTTACCTTTGACTGAGAACAGATCTTAATTCCCAAGAAAGTTTTTTACCAATACGTTCACATGAAGCAAATAAGTCTTCCCAAGGTGTTTTAATACTATTTTCTGTATCAGGCAAGTTCTAAACAGAATTGTAAAATTTAATTTTATAATTAAAATATAAAAAATGAATATTTTACCTGAATGATAGAATGTTTTCCCATAGCATAGGTAATATAAAATTCAGTAGTTTTTGTTAACATTTTATACAGATTTTTCTGATTTAAGGTACTTGTTGACACTAATAATGGGCCAAGATCACATACTACAAAAATATATAATTATATTTATATGACTTAAACTAATAAAGATACTTAAAATCTATATTCATTTTTTAATTTAAATATATTATGTATTACTATATTTATCAATCTTACCTAAAATTTTTCTGTAGCAATTTATAACATTGGGACACTGATTATGTTTTTCAGCAGTTATCATTGTGTCCATCAGTTTTAACTGAAATAATTTGGCAAACATACAATATAAAAATAATGAATTTAAATAATATTATCTTACTGCTAATTCAGTTGACGATTGAGGAAAACGATTTAGGAGTAAAAGTACTAAGCGACAATGTTCCATCGTGTCTTCACTCCTTTCAGCACACACAGATAATAATTTCTGTTGAATAGCTAGAGTAATATTTAAATCAATACATTTGTTGATGATTTAAAATTATAAAACAAAAAATATTTTTACATCATAATCATTGAATTAGAAAACTAACTATAAATAATAAGCTTAATGTAGTGAAGAAAAATTTAAATTTTTATAATTTTAAATTAATATAATGTTAAATCAACTTAATTACAAACATAAAAATTTACTTACACAATGGTAAAGCCGAAAACATTTCTCGGAAAAAGGTTTGTTCTTCTGATAAACAAGATATGTCCATACATAAAATTGGTGTAAAATTTTCAATTTCTTTCCAAAGAATAGGTTCATTAGGGAAATCTTCCAGTCTGAAAATAAATATGCAATTAAAGGGTGCATGAATAAAATTGATTTTTTTTAGTACTTACAGACTACTAAAACATCTGGCTGCTCTATGAACACATCGCAAATTTTTTTCAATTTCATAACATTCAAACTGTAAATAGCAAAAAGAGTAAAAGAACAAAAACAAAAATTAAATATAACTATCTTTAAGGACAAGGTGTATTAGTCATGACTGGGTAATGATAGAAAGTACATTAACGTACATGAATTCCAAAGTTATTGGGAAACATCGATTTGGCTGTAAGTAGCCACGACCTGCACCTATAGCAATCAGTTTCCAGAAAACTTTTGGCTTTGGTCATCATGTATTCTTCGTCGGTGACACATACTTCCATGGGCTCCATTTTTACTCCTAAATCAAGTAGATTATAATTTTTAATCCGATAGTTGTGTGCAATTCAAAACGTATATTTAAAATAAAACATTTAAAAGCTTCTTCAATAAGGAATAGAGATCTTAAATTTAAGTTGCTGTGAAATGAATTATAAACAAAAATAATCTTACCGGTCCGTGATTTTATCTTTTCGTTGATAACAGTGTCATAATACATAAATGTATGTTTAATCAATGATGACATATCATAATATTATCAAATGATAAAAGATTGCATATAATCGCAGTGCTATAATTTTTATTTTCTGTATTATGATTTAATCTGATTTCTTATAGTATTTTCAATAATAGAATAATATAATTTATTCTTTGAAATGGCTAAAAATGGAGATTCAAATCCTTGTTTGCAGGTATATATTCTTTAAATGTTTACTAGCATTATTTCATGGTGATAATTTATGTACATAAATTCATCTCAATATTTTTTGACTAAAATAGTTAATATTATTTAACTGATATTCAAGTAACGATTTCTTTTTTTTTTTTAATTGAAATATTGTATTGTAATTATATTTATTAACACAAGACACCTGTATTAAAAAACAATTTAATAATTTATTCTCCTTTAAAGGAACAAAAAATATCTTTGAAATGCTTACAAGAACACTTTGGAGATAAAACTAAATGTGATCCGCAAATAGAAAATTATAAAGACTGCAAAACATTCTGGGTATACATGGTTTTACATTATCAGAAAGAAAATATTATATTATATAGTATTTTCAAGATAATTTATTACAAATTGCAGTAAAACGCCAATTGTCATAATATAGACAGAAAAGTCTTAATTAAAAACTTATAATTGTATTTTATAATTTCACAAAACCATTAGATATTCATTATTTAAATATGAGAGTATGATTAATAAAATATTTTTTGTTGTCACTTATTCAATTATTACATATATGTAATTTTTAAATTATCTGGATATTTATACACACAATCTTACATGAATTATCTTTGATATTGAAAGTCTGACAATGAGTGTTTAACTGTACTTGATTTTTTTATTAGTATATAATTTAAAAACTTTCAATTGTACAATATATTCAGACTTCCATGTTACTTTAACATTTTAATTATATTTTATTTTTTTTATTTTTCTAGTATAATATTTGCAAGGAACGAAAAGCCAATAACATAAAGCCAGTTTTGCCACCATTAGAAGAACGGATAAAAATAAAAAAGGAATATTTGAGTTCTCACTAAAATAAAAATACATTTTGTACCTAGTTTATAATATTATATATAATTGTTTACTACATGATCAATGTATTTTTTGTGTTTAATATATAAATGTATGGTTATAGTTTCATATAATACTTAATTTTTTTTTTTTTTTTAATATAGTTTGAATCAAACAAAAATATTTATAATAATAATAATAATAATAAAAAAATACTTTTAGAACACATTAAATAATAGTTTTTTGTATAAATAACAAGACATCCTAAAAAAAAAAAAAAAAATTAACACAATATAAAAGTTTGAAAAGTTTATTAACTTTCACTTGTTTATTATTACTGTGAATATATAATAATAAAAAAAAAAAAAAAAATAGGTAGCTAATATGAATATTTATTATGAGTATAATATAATGAAAACTTAGACTACCTACTTAAAAAATAAAATTATTAAGAATACTTCAATGAAATCAGATAATATAAATGCAAATATTATCTATGAGTGGAGAATAGCATCATATGCCTGGAAAACTCCTTGTGCAACCTCCAAAGCTTGTGATTTTAATGATAGCTAAACAAATAATATTTTCATTTAAGTAAAATTATACAAAAAAAAGCATTCCTTAATAAGTACAGTATTATATATTATATGTTGATTTTATTTTGATAGACCATAATTGAATATTTATTGTTAAAAATTGTAAATAATTTAAATTTGATTTTGAATTTAATTTTAAAAATTTAAAAGAAAATAAACTGTCATTAGTATATAACTAAATTTTCTCTAAATGCAATGTATAAATAATACATAAAATTTTTTTTGTAACCAAAATAATGTTATAAATCCATTGATCTAATTAATTTTTAAAAATTTAAATTAACACAGTAAAATTAATCAATAATCATTAAGAAAATATGGGAATTTATAAAAGATTTATAAATCTGTTCTTTTATAGTTTTAAAGATATTTTATCAAAATATAATTTTATTAGGTTTTAGATTAATTTAATGTTTGAATCATATATCAATCAAATATTCTTACAGTTATGTTTGGATTTCCTGGTTGAATTTTAAGTTCATTCAATACCCAATTGCCGTTTGTCAATTTTAATGATTGATAAAGCATATCCTGACCCTCGACATTTCTTTTAGCTATGGTAAATACGTTATTTTGTGACATCTTCATGACAATTGCCTCTGTAACAAAAGTTAAATAATATACTAATAATAATTTAAAAATATCTTGAAGTATAGACTAAAAGTAAACTTCTTAATACAAATAAAAAGTGGTATAATAATAAATAATGTTTCCAGATTGAAAAAAAAGGTTGAATTATTTTTTGTACATAAATATAAATAAATAAGTTTATACTTTTTTATAAACATATTAGCACAGCGTTTATTTTCTACCTGTATTACATAAAACATTCTTTAAAGTAAATTGCACTTCATTTTCTGCGGGTATATCTTTCCATGTAGTCAAAAACACTCGCTTATCCATTTGACCATCTTCAACAAAGAACACATTTGTAGGAATGATACAAGCAAAATATAACACATCAATATTATTTTTAATTGCAACCTATAACACAATTGTAAATCAATATATAATTTTGTATTATTTTAATTGAAATAAATAAGTTTTTACCTGAAGGTTTGTAATGGGTTCCATTCGTTGAACAAGACCAGTAGTTGCAAGAGGTAAGCTGGTTTCACAAGACACTGTAGGCAATAATGGATTCAAGACTTGTAAAGGGCGAGCTGGTGTCAACCCAAAACTGAAAAGTTTGAAAAAAGTTGTAAAAGATATATATATTTTTTTTAGTTCAAAATAATCTATACAAATTATTTATGTATACAATTTTATAAACTATAAAAAAAACTACAACAAGTTTATTATATTATGATTATTTGTTTAAATTTAATTAATAATAATATTAAATAATTTATTAAATTTAATTATTGTTTATAGATTTAAGTTATTTAAACTTACCAAAAACTTTAATTAAATTATTAGTTTTGAGTGTGCAATAAATTGTTAATTGGACGTAACAAATTATTAATAAGTAGTTTTGATTAATTCATAAGTAATTATTAGTAGTTTTTTTAGAAAATTAGAAAACATTCTAATTTATGCTATAGAGGATATTATCTAATAGTATTTAACGGAAATACTTATTAATACATATTTAAGTAATCGTTGAAATTTGAAGAGACAAAATTTAATTTTAACATTAAAATATTATAATAGTTCAATTATACAACTTCAATGGATGAACCTTAAGTATTATGTTTAGTGAAATACTATAGAATTCTCACCTATTATGTGTATTATTAAATACAAAGAAATTTTTTTTTTTTCTTTCAAATAGTAATGAATCAATGGCTAAAAAAATGTTTCTTAATTTTGTGTTAACAAAAAAGTAAATTTTAATAATCAAATACATAAAAATAAATGTAATAAATACTTACGAATTTTTATTTAATTGAATAGCAAATCCAGTCATCGGTTGCATAGCTTTGTTTTTTAAAGTCATATCCATATTAATTTGACCATTTCTGAAATGATAACAATTATTAAGCTTTTTTAATTTATTTTCATTATTATCTTTTAATTAATTGAGAATATATTTTTCTTTAAAACCTACTTCCTAGAGAATGTGCCCATAATTTCTAATCCTTTGCCATTTTCACTGGGTAACCAAAGTACTTTAGGGGGAGAATAAGAAACTGGTGTAGGGGTGAATCCAAATATGTCACCAAGCAAACCAGTGTTTGAAGTTGAAGCTGCTGGTAAATCAGATGTTGTTAACAATGAATCCAATCCAGAAGCAAGTAAATCAACAGAAGGAGGTTGAACTGATGTAGGAATAACAGCTGGAGTGGTTAAATCCATACTAAGAAGATCTCCAATCAATGATTCTTGAGGTGCTGGTATCACTGCAGCTTGGGGAATATTACTGGTAGAAGAATTGTCATTTCTAAAAAATAATAAACTTTAGTATATACATATAGATTTACTATTATTATTAAAATATATACCTAGCAGGTAAAGATTTTCGTAATCCTGGTCTTCCTTCAACAAATGCATTTGGTGGTTTGTGATAGACACTAGCAAGACTAGAAATATGGCACACAAGTTCATCAAGTAAAGTTGGTTCTAAAAGATCAGTTTCTTCGGAAATCAATGGTTTTTCTGCAAGAACGACATCTTTGGCAGCCCCAGGATCAGTAGAGAGTAATCTCCAATAAATGAAACCACGATCACGCAAATCAGGATTATCTGAATCTTGCGTAGCTAAACTTAAAACTTGTTGAACTAGTTCTTGAGTATCGGTAGGTCGTTTCAAAAAAAGTTTAACAATAGCAGTTAATAATTGCAATTGAACTTGAGTGTTTTCATCATGAAAACCTTCCAAGAAACTTTCCAATAACTCATCAGCATTATCAATACGTTCTGCGTATTCTCCAATAATCCAAATCATAGATGCTCGAGCTTCAGGTTCATCTAGAGTATCCAAATTTTCACACAACAAAGATATAATACTTTCGTATTTGTTGGGATACTTTCTGAATATATCTTTGATAACTACAATCGCTTCTTGAACAACATAATTAACTTTTGTCTGTATAAGATCCAGGAGAGTAGATACACATCGTTCAGCAGACTGTTCAACTTTAATAGCACATCGACCGATTGCACGAACTGCTTTACGAACAAAATCTACATCAACTTCGGTGGCATATCTAAAAAAAATGTATGTTTGACATTTATAATAATTTGTATTAAATTAAAATATTTACTTAAAATATTTACTCTTTAAGTTCTGACAAAACTTGTGCAATGTTTGCCTGTGATGCTAAACGTATCATAATATCTAATTTTTCAAGTTTAACATAAATAGGATCATTATATTTAACAAAAAATACTTTCATTTCATGTTTAAGTATATCAGGCCTTTTTTGCACTATTAAATTAATGTTTCTGAGAGCAACGTATTGTACCTAGAAAAACAATCAGTACAGTTATTATATGTAAAACATAGGAATTATTAATGCAAGTATATATATATTACTTCTGGTTCTGTAGATAATAAAGTAACTAATGGTGGAGCAAGCTTTTTGGTTAATGTTGTAACAAAGTCAGAATCAGTTGGTAACATTTCCATAAGTTTCATTAATACTTTAATAGCAGACAAAACCACTGCAGCATTAGCATGAGCTAATCGTGGTGTTATTCTTTCACATATACTAAAATATTTAAAACATAAAACTAATAACTTATACAAAATAATACATAACACTAATTAAAAGTACATTAAATTAGTATTAAAAATAATTATAATGCTAACTGTAAAGTTACATTTTCTCCAAATCTACAAATGTTTAATAATAATATATCATAATATATATATAATACATTAGAAAATTTATCTTAACATGATACAATCAAACAAAAAAATAATTATACTTAAAATTACCTTTGTGCCTCACGATCATCTTTTGGACTGTAATTAGCCAATGAATCAAGTATAAATACTTGACCCCATTCTGTACATTCATTCAAAGCTGTTAAAAGTTTATTAATGGTTTGTGAATTCATTTCAATCAAAGGAGAACCAGTTATACTAGCTTCATTCATTTCTGATAAAGCAGCAACAGCATTGGCAACCACCTATTTAAATTAATACTCAAATCTATATAGTAAACATTTTAATATTTTTAATTTGTGTTAAAAAATTACCATAGGATTTGAATCCGATAAAAGTTCTTTTAATTGTTCCAAAAATCCTTGGTCATCAACTAATTGTGCATTAATATCATAGAGTTTAGCAACACAAACAGCAGCTGTTTTACGTACATATGGATCTTCATCACGCAGACATTTACGCAACGGTTCACATAGATATTCAGTTATTTTTTCAACTCTTATACAACCCATTGTACGAACTGCTAAAGCACGTATTAATGGATTTGGATCTTCACAATCCTTAAAAAATTATAAATTAAAACAATCATAGTAATCTAAGACAACTAATATATCAATAGATACCTTTACAAATGTATTGACGGCCATAATAGCCATGTCAGGATTGCTTTTAGCATAATTCATCAAATATAAGTACACAAGTTTTTTCAATTCTAAGTTATCAGTTTGCATACAATTTACAACATCAGGAAATAAAGCAGAAACATCTTTACCAACTGTCATAGATGCTATGACCTATAAACAAATAGTGAAATTAAAAATGTTAATCTTACAACAAAACAAACTAATATTATTGATAAGTTTATTATTATTATAAATATATTTAAATTAGTTTGCATGAGTTAGTTGTACAATGTTATTTTTTGCAGGGCGTGGTATGGTAATATAGTTAGCTGTATTACTGAAAAAGTTTAGCTTAAACATATTTCAAATGTTGAATATAATGTTCAAAGATTACTTTAGAATAAACAATATACAAACATATAAAAATAAGTATACACATATATTTTTAAATTAAAAATGTTAAGAAAAATATTAGACTTAAAATAATCATCAGTTATTGATAGAAAATAATCCAATTCTACAATGAAACAAAAAGTTTAAGAAAAATGGGTTGCATGGTTAATACAATAATTCAACTCCTACTTAATAATAATATTAATTTTTTAACAGATATCCCTATGATGTAAGAAGGTTTAACCATCTCCAGTTAACCAATGATAATAACTTATACAAATATACTAGAGTATTACCTACTATTAAGCTCAAATAGACTATTTAATAAGCTTTAAATAATAATACCTCAGTACAAAATAAAGTGTTGATTGTTGATGTATTCAAATACAACTATATTGCATACTTATGTACAATCAAACAAAACAATATCAACTCTAAAAGCCCATATTTTAATGAATAATTTTCTTATATGCCAATCATGTAACATTTTATTTTTCATACAAACATGTACACCATTTTAAATAATATTAAGTAATAATATAAAAAATGTCATACCTTTTTCACGGCTTCCCTTTTTTTTTCCTTTTTATCACTGTTTAATTCTGATTTCAATTCAAATATTTCACCTTTTTTGGTAGTAGTGAAATATTTGCTATCAGTCATCTTGATGCTTCAATTATTCTAAAAAAGCATGTTTAATGACAATTGAATTGCAAAACCAAATAAGAAGACATTTTGACGTAAAAATACGTCCATAGCAAAAGTAATTGTATGCATACCAGGAATTATTCTTTTAGATTTTGGGGGGCGTGTATCGTCGACCAAAAGGGAATTGTTAACGAAACGAAAGACGAGTCGAATTCAGCAACAATATTTCTTCAATTATTGTTGGTGGATGAAAACGAAAAATAGTAATACATATATCTATTTAAATTTTTTACGGAGTAAACGAATATATTTAAATTAATTGTAAAATAAGAATGTATTGAACTACAACAGGAGTGCATAGCCTGCCAATGGATGATAAGTTTTATTGATAACACGTATTGCAAAGTACCAGAAAACGCAAACAGTTGACCAACATGATTTCTCGATCAAAACAACACGAATAATGTCAAAAAAATACATTAAATACTTACGACCACGGCTATAAACAATAATAATAATAAATAAATATAATAATTTTCTATATCCGCGGGTATCACCTACGCATACACCACATATAAATACTGACAAAACATAATTACAATATAATTTGTAACATTATAATATATTAAAACAAATTAGATAGTAATTAAAATCAGGATAATGGTGTTTAGAATGTGTTCAAGTATTTTAGATAGGTCATGAAATTTATCCTTTATATTGATAGTTGATTGATAATAAAAAAAATTAGTTTATTAATGATAAATCATGTGGATATTAGAAAAACGCGCGAAATTTGAATTGGGCCAATAAGAACTAGATATTCAAGAGCCACGCTGTGGCATACTGGGTTGTCTAATACGCATAAGGGTCGCGAAAAGTATAAAAAATAAAAGATAACATTTTAAAATGAAGACATTGGCAATACGATACGTAACAACTTGCTTGATTATATTCATATGGAGCGTCAGGATTTTCAAAAAAAATTTATTGAGAAATAGCTGTAATAGTTGTTATCATTTTATGAGTAACAAATAAATTCCTATATTGATCCTTCTATTCTTGTATATACTCGAGAAAAATAGTTGAAAAAATTAAAAATAAATAAGTATAAATGGATTTTCAAGTGAGGGCGAATATAAACCAGTAAATCCAGTGGTGTACACTCAATTTTGCTCTAGGGGGGGGGGGGGTAACAAAAATAATCGTTATCTTTTTTTTTTTTTTGTTGCACAGATAAATGAGATAAATAACTTTTTAATTTTTATTAAGTTATTAACATAAATTACTTATTATTAAATACTTCAATCCTAGATAAACAAAAAATAACTTTATTAAAATAATTACTACTTGCATTTTGATAAGACTAAAACAATATTTATAATTAATTATTAAATAATTCAGTTGATTATCTTTTTTAAAGAAACTTACATTTTAATTGTATAACTAATTATATAGATTATAATGTTATTTATGAATCATAATATTTATAGTTGTAACAAAATGTGTTCAAAGTACAATATAGATCATTGATTAATTTATTTATTGTGATAGTATTTAAATCTATGTATTAACTATATTCTATACATAAAGCATTTATATTTTTGTTGTTTAAATTGAGTTTACAATAAAATTAAGTAATATGTAATATTGCTTTAAATTACTTTAATTAAAATGAGGTGATAATTTAATGAAAATTACCCCTGTGATAGAGATCCCAGATTTATTTATTTTTTAAACACGGGACATTTTAAATCATACTTGTACTTGTAATATACATAGATATTAATTAGGGGTTGGTAGTAAGGTGGTTTCAAAATTAAAACATTATGATTTGGCTATACTGCTTTATAAAAGTTAATTTTTAATTTTTAAATAGATTTCAATATACAATATAATAGAATAATAGAATATCTTGAAAAATTGTTTTTATTTATTATTGAGTTTTATTATTATAACCAAATGATTATGGATGTGTATAATGGATGATAATGGAGGTATGGTGTAAAAATAGAAAAACTGGAAAGGAATTGAGAATTTGGTGGTGCAAATTAATAGAAAACAAAGAAATGGAGAAGAGAAAGTAAAAGAACAACTGTGTAAAATGTTGAAGAAAATATAAATTGGGTATGGAAAAAAATTTGTGTTAAGAATATAACAATAATGGTTGTTCATGAAACCGAAAGTAATAAGCCAGAAGATCAGAGAAAGAGTTTTATTGTACCAGTATTTAAAAGCAAAGAAGACATACTGAAATGTAGGAACTATATAAGATTAATGCAGATGAGTCATAATATGATGATTTGGGAAAAGATTATAAAGAAGAGAATAAGGAGTGATACATTAATATCAGATAATCAGTTTGTTTTTATAACCGGAAAATCAACTATGGAGACATTATTTTGTGTTAGACAACCGGTAAAGAATTTTAAGAAAAAAAAAGAAAAAATTATGCGTGGTGTTTATAGATTTAGAAAGGCTTATGACAGAGTGCCAAGAAATGTTTTAAAGTGGGTATTAATGAAAAAAGAGACTGTTGATGTGTGTGTAGGTGATGTAGAAAATCAAGGCAAGTTGAAGGTTAAAGACAAGGGTGGACAACCCCAAATAGTTGGAAGAAAGGTAAAGGAGTAGAAGGAGAAGTTAATTTATTTTTATTATTAATTATTTTTTTAGGTGTATCTAGAGATTTGGCTTTAGAAGTGGTCACTAAAGTTGGATTGACAAAACAAAAAGATGAAATTGCAGATGTAATTTTGAAGTTATATGACTTGTTTCTACAAAAAGATGCTCTCTAAATTGAAGTTAACCCATATGCAGAGAGTATTTCTACTGGAGGATATAAGTAAGATTTAAGTGCATTCAATTATGATACTTTTCATAATTTTTATAATTTATAGATTACTGCTTGGATGCTAAATTTCGTTTTGATGACAACGCTGAATTCAGACAAAAAGAATTATTTGATTTGCGTAATTGGACTCAAGATGAAAAAGAAGTAGACGCTTCGAAGTTTAATCTTAATTATATTGCACTTAATTGTATTTATTCAAAATCAATAAGGTTAAACAAAAATATATTATTAAATATATTCATATATTTTAAACAGGTACTATTGGTTGTTTGGTAAACGGTGCTGGTTTAGCAATGGCAACTATGGATATAATCAACTTGCATGGTGGTAATCCAGCTAACTTTTTGGATGTCGGAGGTGGCGCTACTGCTTCTCAAGTAAAAGAAGCCTTTAAAATCATTACATCTAATCCTAAGGTAATATTTATTTTTAAAAATGTATATTATAAAAATTTGAATCATAAGACTCACATGATAAAGAATCAATTCTCAAATCATGGAGTTTTTTTTAACAGATATTATATTTATAGTCATCAAAAGCTGTAACTTTCTGTTATTTCAGATGCAATAAAGAAATGTATGCATTTTCTATTTCCTATGTACCAATCCAGTATATTGATTTGATTAATATTTTGAAAACTTATGTTATAAAATCTTAAAAAAATGTCTTTTTTTTTCCCCTCTAAGTTCACCAATGTTCAACCAAAGTTTACCGATTTTAGATTTTAGTTTTTCAATATTAGATTCTGAATGAAATATATTGGTTTTACCATAGTGTAATTAGTATAATTTGAAAGGCATTTCATAATTTTTATAGTAATTCAAAAAAATTTGTGCTGTTTATAGGTACATGAAATTTTTGTTTTTTCCCAAATTTTCATTGGTTATGGTTTGCTAACACTATGGAATGACATAATAGTGTAATGTGTTTGGGATAACCAGTTAATAATGATGTAACAATTGTTATAATAGCATTTTATTGTATTTTGTATTTTATTTTATTGTATTTTACTATCTACTAAAAACCATTCTACTAATACATCAATGAACCCTAGAAATATAAATTGATTCATCCAATCTCTTCCATTCAGATTCTTTGTTTTCAAGATCATTGAATGGGAAAATAGTTTTCCAATAAATACTTAAACATTTTTATAATTCTTTATAGCTTAAATAATTATAAATTCGTATTGTTTTTTAGTGTAAAGTTTATTTTGTGATTTGCTTACCTATGTACACAACAAAATCTTAATAAGTATGTTATGTTTCTTTTTAGAACTTGGATTTTTTATCGTTTCAATCTAAATGAGGTGTCCTTCGAGTCCCGGGTAACCACTTATAATATTTTTTGTTGAATTTTATACAATAAATGTTTAATGGAATAAAAATCAAATTCATTTAATTTACATAAAATATCTTGAAACTTTTAAATCATTTGATTAAAATTAACTAATAATAATTAACTTCTAATAAATTTTGCTCATAGAATGTAAAATATAATTCAATTTAAATTATTAACTCTAATTTTGTTTCAAAATATTCAAATTTTAATTCATTTATTTTTATGTTTCTTTTTCAGAACTTGGATTTTTTTTTTTTTGGACCGACCCAAATCAATTTTCCTCCGGGAGCCGGGGATCCTCTTTTCATTTCTGCTTCTGAACTCTACACTTTGAATATTTAATGGTATAAAAATCAAATTCATTTAATTTACATAAAATATTTTATATCTTTTATATCGTAGGACTACTATTAACTAATGCTATAAATAGATATTATTTTATACAACTTTTTTACCAATTTACAGTTTACTTTTACATTATAATAAATTAATAGCTATTGGTGTATAAAAATAGCATAGTTTACAAAACTTTTCAAACACCTATCAATATAATTATTTAACTATCATAATATTTGTATAGTTGTATATTTTAAGTTCAAAGCGTAATAATGAAACTACGAATAAATTACACGTCATCAATAATAAAACAATTTTTTTTTTTTGACTCAGGGGGGGTTTGACCCCCCCCCCCCCCGTGAGTACGCCTCTGATTAAATCTACAACAAATCTTAGTATTTCACCGGTTAATGTATTTTATAATCAAAATAAATTGTTGTATATAAAAAAAAAATTGAATTTTTTTTTTCTACGGCAAACCATGATAGTAACAACGATGAGGTAGATAATCTATGTCCAATTTTACTTGTCTTATTCTTTTTACATTTGTTAACTATTTCCGTTTTTAAAAACTACATTTCTTACAATTTTTTGTTCAAAATTTTTTTTTTTTTTTTTGTAGCTTCTACAGGCCATTAAGGCCTTTCGCTGCTTCTACTATGCCTCTCCATCGATCTCTGTTTTCTGCATCCTCAATTATTGCAGTTTCATCTTCTAATTTTGTTCAAAATATATTTAATAATATATAGCCTTAACTTTTCTTAAAACACTTGAGTAATGTATCTGGGAATTGATTTTCTTTATTTCAAAATAAACCAATACTATTAAATTATTTATAAATAAATACTATTATATATTAATAATCTCAAATATTAATAATCTCTACCAATAAATATTTAAGTACACGTGACGTGCTGATGATTAAATAAATAACAAACGTAACAGAGTTATTCAAATAATGTACTGGAGCAAAACATACATTTACAAATGGAAATTGTTTAAATAGTTAACTCCGAGATTTCGAAAAACTTCTGCAATCGTCGAATTGAAAATGTTATACATTACAATTTGTAATTATGGTGGAATTCGCAGGGATATATATAAGGATATTATCGCTATTGACGGCGCCATCTACACGGCGTGCCAGCTTAAGGCTGCCATTGGCGGACGGGTCACCGATCACAGGTTCGCGTTATCTCGTACCTCACCGCCTCGGGGGGTCGTAAATACCTGCAGTAGCAGCGGCTGCTCTGGACAATTATGTCAAACGTTTCACATTATTGAACACCGTATTGTCATTTATATTTTTTACGACTTTCTCGTCGGACTTCGAAAACGTAAACCGGATTCTCCTAAAATAAGTTCCTCTAGTAATTATTTTCATCTGAAAATTCGTCTAGTTACGCACTCCGATCGCGTTTTTCGACACTGCGCTCGCCGGTCGACAGAAAAAATAATTATTGTCACGACCACGACGGCCGTTCGACTTTCATAGGTTTTCGTCGTTTTTTTTTTTCTCCCTCTTTTTTTTCGTCGGCACCGGTTCATCAATACTGCTTATAATATTTTTAGATTATTTTTACACCAATCATTAATTGATAACGAAGTTAAAATTCAATACACGGTTTTCTCGGCACCGTGGACGTTTGGACTAAGTCAGCTTACGTAATCGTTCGTCGTCGTGATAACGTGTCGCAGTAGAATTTGACGGGGGGCACACGCGTCGCACAGGAGACACGCAGTTCGATCGCCGCCAAGAAGTACGCTGAGTCGTCGTGGTCGTCGACTTCGTTTTGGGCGCATGGTTTCCCAGCCGGACGTCGGTGCTCAATTTATCTCCCGCACAACAGGTACGTCACAGAATAGCCGACGATGATCTTACTGTAACGGCGACGTCTGCGGTTCCGAACGATCGAGGTGTTACGGTAGGCGAATGACCTCTGGCAACTGGTTTACCGAATGTTCCGTTTCGGACGTTTGCGTGCGGCGTAGTTCATGGCATCCGCGTGCTATGGGGCCATCAGTGAAACCCCTCTGTCGATAACGCTATGGGTTGATATTGCGGTCAACTGGTTAGACGTAGTGATTTTAGTAGTGAAAACCAATTGGCAACAACAGTCGTTTCATAAGGTTTTTCTTAATTTGTTATAAACGGTTCCAGGGAATTGCAATCCTGGTTTTTGTTTTTCCATACAGGAGAGAATAGCATAGAAATTTCCAGATTAGCACGGTATCCTCATCAGCTGGAAACTTTTCTTCGGAATTCTATTCATTCTCTACTATATACTTAGTTTTCAAATTTAACATTTATTAAATGAGCTACTAATACTTCTTTTCAACTAAATCTTGACATTTTCGATAATATTAAACTTTTACCTTTGGGTGATTCTTTAGTGAGATACCTAACTAATATTCAAGCTTGAAATATTTGTGTACAATAATTCATTAATTCCATTATACAAATTATTATCAAATAATATTGGTTTTATTTTATTGTTTTTTTTTTTTTTTCACCGGTGTATCTTTGAGTGTTATTCTTCTCATATTTTCAGTTTCTAACTTCTTAAATGTATTATGTCAGTTCATACTTTCCTGAATCTTCTCTCTTGAAGTTCTCTTTCCATTATTACCCGTGCTATTTTATTCTATCTCCTATTCTTGCTCTTAACAATTGTATCCTTTGTCTATCAACAAAGTTTATCACTATCGCTAATTCCACCATATTATAAAGTTCTATTAAATTCCTTTTGTCAGTTCCTAGTTTATTCAAAAGAAGGGATCCATGGATTTTCCAATTCTTCCTACCTTCCATACATTTCAACCTTCCAATTCTGAGATATTCTCCACTTTCAAGTTTTTGATATTGATTAATAAACATTATTTTATTTTTCTTTCAACACTGGTTGTATCAGCTGTGCCTGAAGGTGGTTCAATTTTTTACAATTGGTTTTTATTATTTTTATATTAGCCTATGTGCCTTCTGTTCTAAGTTATGTGTTTTGTTACTTTGTCTTCTATTGTTCTAAATTAGTTTTTAATTTTAAATTTTAATCTGATAGTTTTTATAGTTATGGTATATTTTCTGTGATTTATTCTGGAAGCTATTATAATTAAAAAACCATTTATTATTCAGATTACTCAATAGTTATATTCCTCGTTATATTCATAGTATGATAGTATGCCTTTATTAAATTATTTGTTTGAAACTTTGTTTTTTATGATTAAAATGTACCCACATATATAATTAATATTAATAGGCTTGACAAATGTTTAGAAATATTAAATTTTAATAAAAAATCAATTAAGTATGATTATTAATAATATCTATAATTGATTTATTTAATTTAATATTAGTACAAACATATTAAATACTATTCATAATAGTAAAAATGCTCGTTAAAATCAATGTTTAAAAAAATAATAAATAAATTATTATATAACCATAACATTTTAAACTATGTACTTGATTACTTATACAAGTTTTTTATTACTTAAATTATTTTTTAATTAAGTAAATTAAATTGTTTTGTAAAAACTGAATGCAGTGGTGTAACTGAGAAAGAACCTGGGGGGGGGGTAATATAATATATTTATTATTACCAAAACCCTGACATCTCTCCCCTTCACCAGATAAAACATATTTTTATTGTATGTATTTTATACACTATATCTAATTATTTTATTTTACATAAGTTTTTTAACTCATTTTATGGTTTAAATAAACATAAATTGTAGGTAGTAGGTACTAGGTACCATTATTGTTAAATAATATCCATAAGAGTTCATTAATAAAAGGTGCTATTGTACTGTTGGATTATCTGGGGGGAGGGGCATAATTATACCTTTATCTCTTAAAAAATGGTCAGAGGAGGCACTTGCCCCCTTGCCCCCCCCACAATTATGCCACTGACTGAATGTTTTATTTAAATCATTGCAGTTGATACTATTATAATTTTTTATTAATTAAAATATGGTATTATAAAAAATATTTTTGATGAATTATGAATCAGTTTTCACCAAGATTCTCATTTTTTTTTTATAAATTAAAAAATTAATTTTAATAATTTATTGCATACAATTTTTCTCATATTATTTAGTTAAATTCAATGAATTAGTGTCACTTAAAGTAATTAGAACTGATTTGATAATTACAATTGGCTGTAAATGAATTGGTAAAATTTGATTTCTATATCATTTTTTGTATTTATGTATTGTGACTAATGCTTTATATTAGTGATTTCAAAATATATTTCTCAGTCATTGAAATATATTTGAATATTGTTTATTTTATTAATCTTTATGATTATAAAAATTGGTAATTGATTAATTTAATAATTATAAATAAGTATTACTTTAAAAAAAAAAACTTAATAATTTTTGAAATTATGTTATGTGTAATGGCAATAAAATATATAAAATTAATTAGGTTTTATTGCTTTAAGTTGGTATCATTATTACATAATTTTTGTTCATAAAATTAATCAGATATCAATAAACATTATTTTTTTTATTTTTAGAAGTTTTAAATTATATTTGAAGAATAATACATTTTTAAAAACAAAATTTAATTTCTTACAGATTTATTATATTTATGTGAAATACATGATTTTATTTTATTTCAACAGAACAAAGTATTTTTATTTCTTTAACTATAAGCAAAAAATTGAATTTGCTTTAATTTTTTTTTTTTTTTTTTTTGTATATTTACTATTTTATTAATTTATAAAAACTTTAACCCGATTTTAAATTAAAAATATTAAATTAAATTATTGTTGTAATTATGTTAATATTAGGTTTTAAATTTATTATAATTCTCAATTATTAAAAATTAGTTTTTTTTTGTATAATAGTATATGGTTATAGTTTTAATAAATTAAATGTTAACTTTGATAGGCACAATGTTTGTACTATTTTATTATGTACCCCGTTATGTACATATTTTGCCAACAAATATGAGCATATTTTTTCAAGGTTTTAAAAATTATAGTTAACATTTACAGTCTTTCAGTAATAATTCATGTATAAATATTGATTTAATAGTGGAAAATTGATTTTAAAAAATTTGAAGGTTAACAAAATGTCAAGTTAGACTTAACATTACAATATCAAAATGTGTTATCAGCATAATAAAGATTTATTTAACTTAATAAAAATAAAGTCTTCATAAATCAAAATATTGATTATTATAGATTCATGAGTGATATAGAAACGGTTACCAAGATGTCAGAAAGTGTTCAGACTGAAACAATAACACCAAATGAAAATAAAGTTGCCGATACTCCTTCAACTGCTAAAAAAAGTAGTATTCTTAGACATCGTAAAATACCTTCTACTGATTTAAATAATGTAAGTATATTTTTATTTATCGGAAAAAAAATGTATATTATTCTTTTATATTATACTCAAGTGACTAATAGATTTATTTAATATTTTTTAATAATAGTATAATGTTTAAATTAACATAATATTATGTTGGCTTAAAAACTGAATATTAATTTCTTTAGGAATCAGATTTTATAGATTCATTTAAATATAAGATAAATAATATTTATTTATAATGTTACTAATATGATTAATGGATATTTTAAATAATGATTTAACTAAGACTCTATAGTTTTATAATTTGTGGAAAAAATTAAAGTGTCACTTCCGAAAATATTTAATTAAATGTAATCTGTAATTTAAATTCATTCATATTTATTAAAAAAAATTAAACAAATATAAGAGAATCAAAACAAAATGTATTAGTTAATATAATTCTATGGTTATAATAATTATATAATTGACTACTTTTCTGATTTTTTTAAATTTATTATTTTTAATCTTAATTTGTTAAAAAATATATTATCTTTATACATGTCTGATTATTTTCATGGTTAAAAAATTCTCATTTAAAATTTGTCTATGCTATTTAAGGGTTTTAATTATATGTAACGATGTTGTCAAATATTATTATCTAAAAAAAATTATGAGGTGACGAGATTATTTATTACTATTGTTTATTTAAAAGATTGTTTGTGGTAACAACATACTACTTTATATACATATATAAACATAATTAACATAAAAAGATTTATATTACATGTATAATTACATAATATAAACCTACATTTTATTCTCTTCTTTTAGTACATTTAAAATAATAATATTTATATTTAACCGTTAACATTTTGAAGTCTTTTAATCTTAGAAAGTTACAATATATTAGTTAGTTTTATTTTTACCTTGATCTCACAAGCTCCATTCCTATTAATTATATGTATAGCAAAAAAAAAAAATGTATGTTGAATTGTTTATATTATTTTTATGTGTATGTTTTATAGAAGTCTGATGAATTAATAGCAGAGAAAACCGATTTATTATCTGGTCCTTCAAAAGAAGACAATGATGTAAGGATATTCTTTTATCGCGTAGTACATTAAACATCATTCGCTATATTATTATTTTACTATGGTTAGATTTTTAATTAATTTAATAATCCTTGGCTACATAAGTCGGTGAGGTATATATTGTTTTATAATTTTGATATCTTTAATTTACAAGCAGTGGCAAGAAAAAAACTTAATAATTATGTTTGCATAAAGATTAAAGATAAACCATAATTTATTTAACAATGTTGAAGTTATGATAATAAATTAAGTATTTAATCAATAGTTAATTGTAATATTTGTATGTTTATTTAAATTATATTAATTTATATTAATTTAATTGATTTTGGATGATTGCTAAGTGATGTAGGGACATTCAGGTAGTTTAAATTGTTTGCTGTATAAAACATATTTAAAATATATATGACATTTAGTAAGTTTGGTAGTACAGGACTTTATTTTTATTTATTTTTATTTTCAAACTTATTGATTATTATGTCTACAAAATAATAATTGGTTATCATCAATTTTTTTTCAGATGGTATGTAATATATCTAATGAAACAAATGAAAACATGGATTCATATGGTACTATGGCTCAAGCAGAATTTCAACATGTTGCTGCTCAAGCTCGTGATCTTGGTCGTAAAATGTGGAATGTATGCCATTTCCACAACTTACCTCAGTGGCTTCAGGATAATGATTTCTTGCACACGGGACACAGACCTCCATTAAACTCTTTTCAGGCTTGTTTTCAATCTATTTTCCGAATTCACACTGAAACTGGAAATATATGGACACATTTGCTAGGTAATTAACGTAATTAAATTAATATTACTTGTATAAGTTAATACAATTTTTATTATATTGTTAAAATAAGTAAACATTTTTATTTTTTTTTTTTTTTTTTTTTTTATTCTAATATAGGTTGTATTGCATTTTTTTTTATGACACTCTACTTTGCATCTAGACCCGAAGAAGAATTATCATTTCAAGATAAATTAGTTTTTATTATTTACTTTATTGGAGCTATTACTTGTATGGGTTTTTCATTTGTATTTCATACAGTTCATTGTCATTCAGAAACTGTTGGAAAGTTATTCAGCAAGTAAATAAAATATTTTGATTATTTTAACAGGTACATAATTAATTACAAATTTATTAGATTGGATTATTGTGGAATCGCTATACTGATTATGGGTTCATTTGTGCCATGGCTGTATTATGGATTTTACTGTGAACCTTATTCATGGATACTGTATTTAGTACTAATTATTGCCTTGGGATTGGTGTCAATGATTGTAGCGCTATGGGACAAATTCAGTGATCCCAATCTCAGACCACTTAGAGCAGGTAAATTAATTTTAAAATAATCTTACATACAATATACAACTTAAGTAAATAGTTTAATTTAAATAATTACTGTCCATACTCAGGAAATATTTAGATATATGTTTATAATAAAAAGAAAACCCTCCTTTGTGTTAAATTTATCTTGATTTTATTCTTAGAAAATTAATAAAGTATATTTTATCATACTCATTTTATAAAACTTAAAATAATTTAATAATTGTTTTTAATAAATAAAAAAAAATATTATTTCATAAAACTAAAAATTTCTTTTCTTATATATTATGTAAACAAAAATAATTGTAAATTCTTTTCAAATTAGATTAAAATTTTATATATTATTTCTGTTACTTTAAAAAAGTATAAATCATTTAGTTGTAAAATTTTAAAATTAATTAAAAAAAATTAATTTACTTACTCAATATTGATTTTATAATATAAAATCTATGCTTCCTATCACAAATCCACCTTTACACCCTTATATTATCTTAATATCTATCTGATTTTAATCTATACAGTGCTTATTTTATTATTTTAAAATATACCTTTTAGAAAATATATTACTACCTAGATATAAATGTAGACAATAGTTTTTTAAATTTTTAAAATGTATAATTAATATATGTATAAGTGTACAATCAACATTTTATTTACAGGTGTTTTTACAACTTTTGGGTTGATTGGTGTTATACCAGCACTTCATTATGGAGCTGTCGAAGGATTTTTTTCGAATTTCACATTAATTAGCCTTGGGTGGTTGTTACTTATGGGATTTTTATATATATGTGGTGCTTTATTATATGCGTTACGAGTACCAGAACGATTTTTCCCTGGAAAATGCGATTTATTGGTAAGAACATAAGTTCAATATTATTTTTAATATTATTGGCAGACAATCTAGACGAATTATATTAAAATTGGTTTAATTGTTTATGTACATATTACATGTAATATTTATATTTAATTATTTGGATTATAGTCAAGTTGATTTTGAGAATGGAGATTTAAAAGATTGTTATTGGGATTGTGTAGATTGACTTTTAGTCAACATATTGCCAATTAATTAAATTTGTCAGACTAAGGATAGCCATTTCACAATTTCAATATTATATGGAAAATATATTTTTGTTTATAGTTATTTTAATTAATACATTTATTTTACTATTGAGAAAATTTGATATTTTATAAACAGAATTTTCAAATCAAAATTATTTGCGTTTTTACATTTTATACTCTATTTTATCCTACCTTATTTTTTAATTTTATTATTTAGTGAAACTTCTATGTAACAATCATGTTTAATATTTGTCCATATTATACTAGTTTTGTATGATAGTCCATTAAACATCTAATTATTTTACTTAATCAGTGATAATATAACAGGTCTTGCCCAATTTTCCATTACAAATTCAGCTATTGATTTATAAATTTATATTTTTATTAATTTTTTTTTTTTTTTTTGTTATATATTTAGTTCCAAAGTCATCAGATATTCCATGTACTTGTAATACTGGCAGCATTTGTCCATTACCATGGCATAACTAAAATGGCAGAGTACAGGTTGAGTAAAGGTGAATGTGAAGTACGACCTGCTGTTGTTTAGTACGAGTTTAGTAGGTGCATGGGCTTGCTTAAAAATATGCAATCATCTGTAATTAAATTTGAAAGAGAACACTTACTCCCATGCTGACATACTGGTTGAAATTAAAATTAAGTTCTTCAAATCAGTTAAAAATTTGTAATTTAAATACCAAAAACATCCTAAATAATATATTAAAATTTAGATGCTATTATTTTATGTAGTCTTATATTTTAATATTATTTCACTTAAAATAGAAAGTGCATATATTTTTACTACTTATGAAAAATTTTTACAATATATAAATTAAAAGTCAAGCATATAATACGTTTAAATCTTTTATGAAATTAAATAAGTTGGTTTAATTCAATATATTATTATGATTTTGGATATGAAAAAATATATATAATATATACATATACTATTATAGTATGTATATGTTATATATATAAAATATTACAATTGAACAAGAAAGTTGATTTAGATTAAAGTTAAGCCAATTAGTAAAACATATTCCTTAAGTATATCCAATTGTTACATACATTTTTTTCAAGGAGTACTTATATTTTGTGTATAACTTTTAATGTATGGTACTAATTTACTATTCAAAACTAACATTCAATACCATAAACACTATTATGATAATTGTGTATGCTCAAAATGTTTATTTGATGTACACATTTTCTACATTATTCACATAAAATCAAGATAAATAATATTTATAGGTTTTAAATATCATAAATTATATACATGACATTTCCACACATTAAAAAAAATTATGGTTATTCCTTTGTAATATTCGCTTGTTTTTGATTTTTTTTTTTTTAAATTAGACACTTATGTTAATTTTAAACATCTTTTTTCATAACTATGATTAAAGTATTAATTTTATAAAAACAAATCAAAATGTAGCTATTAAAAACAAATTACAATTTTTCTTTGAAATTAAATTATTACATTTTAATATTATCATGTTTTATGATTATTACAAGATGCCTTTAAATATTATTAGATTAATTTACATGGACTATCAGTTTTTCAAATTTTTTCTGTTGAAATGTATCTGAATTTCATAGTTAATGTATTTTATTAAATTTGTCCAAAAAAAAAAACATTACTATTGTAAAAATAAAGAATATTTCATTAATATAATAAATAAATATATATATATATATATATATAATATTTATATAAGTAAATATACATTTATAATATATATATATATATAAATTCATATAAAATTTGGTATATTGCAAATTGCTTTTAGAATCATAATATGTGTTAAATATTTGAAAACACAATTAATTTACGTCCAAGTAATTCGGTAGATGATTATTATTGTAAATTAGTTTTAAAAAAATTGTAATGTTGCTTTTTGAATGGTATCTTTGTATAATATATATATAAATATGTATATTATATACTATATACATATACATATATATTTATACTTGCACAATAAAACATTTTCATATATTATTAATGAGTATATTATTATGATGTGGGTTGGTTATACAGTTTTTTTTAAAATGTATTATGTTAATTATTGTGTAAAATTTGTATGCCTTGACATTTGATGTTGATAATGATATGTACTTGTGTGTTAGGAGTGTAAAGAAATTTTGTAATTGTGTTAAATCGATATTATCACTGTGATAATATTTTACGATTATTATAATATATATTTTAGAATTCATACTTATATATGCATTATTTTAGTTGATCTTTAATTACCTATTTTTACCGAAATACATAAATTATACATTATGTAGCATTACCAACTTTTTTTCGCTCAAATATAAAAATAAATTATAGAAAAGAAACGTGTGTACCTGAATTCGATCATTAGATCATACTATGAGCGATTTTGACTTGAGATGTCTTGTATTATTTTATGTCTGTAAAAATGAAATTTAAACATTTTAGGATAACAAAATGTTTATGATTTTCAAAGTTTTACATTTTGACGAAAAAACCCTCGAGTAGGTAAGTATTAATTTAAATACCTGTTACGAACATGTTATGAAAAATGTCAACAACAGTTTGATTAGTGATTTATTTTTATTTTACTTCTCGTCCATGGACGTAGCGAAATGTATTTAAAAAAAATGTTACGAATAACGAACAAATAATAATACGTACAAAAAATATCTGTGTATTCGGACTGAAACGACGTAGAACGGTACTCGAACCTTGTCGTTATTCCGGCGATGAACATTTTCACCAAGAAGTGCGCGGGCAGTAGCTTCGTCGTGATTGTTATTTCACGTGAACCGTTCGCACTGTAAAGACGTACCTATTTCTATGCATTAACGCGTTCGATCACAAATCCTTTCGTCCTCTTCGCTACGTTTTCTGAGGTTCCAAACGCCTCCTTTGGATCACACCGCCGGCATTTCGTGATCGCCGAGCACGCGATTTTATAAAATTTTTCGTCTCTGCTCCGTAATTATTGTACAACATCGACTTGCGTACAAATAATTTTTCCGTTCACGTTCTGTACATGTTGCAACGAGTGTCCATTTACGGGGAAGGGGGGACCACTGGACGTCCTCGTCCTATCCACGTACCTCGGCGAAAGTCAGTAGATATTCGGCGTTTTCACTCCGTTAAATCGAAGAATATTTAATACTGTCCGTAAAACGGACGAAATGAGAGCAATTATAATTATGCTTACAAATTAATAGGTACATTTTAGATGCGGCGCTTGATATTCAATGTGATCGGTTAAGATTATAGAAAAAAAAGTTGTATTTACCCAAAGGTCGTGGCCAAAGAAAAGGGTGGAACGTGTGACTATGATGAACATGGACAAATCGTATTATTAATAATATTTTATGATAATTTTGTTTTGTACGCCTGCAGAAGATATTAATGTTCAATTTCCGGAACCTCTTCGCAGTAAAACGACGTGTGCACGATAGTGAAGCGCAGTGAACTTAAAGGACGGCAACTGACATTTTACTGACAAGTGACCATCCCAGTTGCCGACCCAAAACTCTCTCGTGTCACATCTATGGTTTATGAATGATTTTAGAACGTAGAGTACAGACTGTAATTTATCGTGCTATATTCCATTACGTAATTGTCCGTTCTATAACCAATAGCTTAATATAGCTACGTAACGTTTTGTAGTAGAAAAACTGTAGCTTAGTTAATTGCGCATCAATGGCTGAAAAACTCGGAGGCGATCGTCTCTCATAAATAATCCTCCGCTACGGTCGCGCTTAGATATTGTCAGCGTTGTGAAAGTTCTTTTTAAAAACGAACTCGTTTCTGTAGTGAAAAAGAAAACGCGGTCCAATTCCTTTTAAATTTTTTCTACGATCCAAACGGTTGTCAATGGTGTTATTTTTGTGGACAGTTTTTGAACCAGAAGTTATTGGCGTTCATCTTTGGATTTAAAACGTTTCCTGATAGTTAATTGAACCAGGGTTGAACTTTAAAGTCATTAACTATTGATTTTTGCCTATTTACAACAGTTAATATACACGCAAGGAAAAAGTGACGGAAAAACAGGAATTTCTAAGGAATCCCTATTTTTAACAAAACTTCTCGACCCTTCTCCACAATTGGTCATTTTTTTCACTTAAAATCCGTTGCCGTTTATTGTTCGCATCGCACTGGCAGAACACATGAATTCGAGTACGCCGATCGTGTTCGTGCCCCGTCGCCCTTACAAAAGGGTGCCTCGGGGACGTTATTGGTCCGAACGAACGGCGTGGCGCTGTCGACCGTTAGCATTTGCAACGCGCGTCGCACCGACAGTTTATGCCCTAAGAAACGATGTACCTAATTATATTACCTAATTAATACGTTTACACCTATTTTATAGGTGGTGATTAAATTATAACTCAATTAGTGCGGTACGTTGTGATTTTCCGCGGGGACTACGCGCGGCAAACGCGTAAAAACGTTCCGGCCGAGAACCCGACCGAGTCGCGTCGACGCGCACTTCGTATCGGCTCGACACGGCCGACTGGCACACGCGCCGCGTACGTTCTCGGGAAATCGGAAACGCGATCGTCCGATGAGCATTAGTTGTATCCAATGGCGTACATTCAATCTTGCTCTGGGGGGAGGGGAGAAGGTTTAACAAAAGTGATCGTTATCTTTTTTTTTTTTTTTTTTTCGTTGCACAGATAAATAAGATAAATAACCGCTATAAATTGATATTGTTTTATACAACAGTTTGCAATTCACTTTTACATTACAGTAAATTAATAGCTATTGGAATATAAAAACAGCATGGTTAACAAAACTTTTCAAACGCCTATCAATTATTTAATCATCATAATATTTGTACGTTTTAAGAACAAAGCGTAATAATGAAACTACGAATACATTACACGTCATCAATAATAAAACGATTTTCTTTTTAACCCGGACCACCCACCCCCCGTATGTACGCCACTGGTTGTATCAAATAAACGTTGATACGTTTTTTTTTTTTTTTCTGCGACCGACGCGTGTCGGAAAACAAAACTATTTATTTTTCAAACCTTGCGATGAGTGCGAACACCGCCCGCGTTGCATGGGTCGCTTCGTTTTCGCGGGTTTTGTTTTCAATTTCAGACGCATCGGATTATTTACGTCTGACTCATACTTTTTATCGTATGAAATGTAAGAAATATATATATATATACATTTTTTTATTATTATATTATTTTCGATTTTATTTACGACTAAGGAACAGCTAGACACATAATCACGCCGTTTTCCAAGGACTAGCGTACTCGCTAGCACCCCTGGCAAACTTAGGAGAAAACACAATTCAACCAAATCAAAATTTGACATTTGCTGTTCTCCCATTATAAACGGTGAATCCATCGATAATTTTTTCACATGAAATTTCCCATATGAATTCCCTTGTGCTATTTTCATATTTTCATCGTTAAAATATGCGATTAGACAAAATCTACATATTTCAAATAGTATAATGGACAATTTTCGTTTCGAAGATAAAGTAAAAATACGAATTTCGTACGCTTTTGCGTCCATTTGCAATTCGCGTCCATGGCGTAGGCACAGTTCGCCTTCATGCCACTGGGGACATCCGTTAATTACGGCTACGCTTGTACGAGCATGGTTTGATCACAATGCCAGTAGAATTCTTTTTTTTTTGATACAAAACCTCGTTACGATTTTAAATGAAAAAAATACATGTGATTAACTAATACACCTATCGTCGTA